CTTGGGCCTCATTCCGTTTTCTTTGCTGCTTTTATTTTTTCTCACTTGATTTTTTATTTTGTGTTTCTTTATACTTTTTCCCATTTTAATTCCTTTGCAGCGATTTTTTCTTTTGGGGAATGTTTCATAAAATTTATATTTGCAGATAAGTGCGCTTGTAGGGGGTGAAAAAGGGAGGGAAGGACGTTTTTATTACGAGACAATTTACATATTTTTCTTGTTAAAATTCCTCAACATTCTCTTCCCAACTGGGTCTTTCGTGTCATATGAATTTTCCCCCATTTTCTTGTTTCTGAATTAATGTTAATTTTTATTACACTTGCTGTAGCGTCGCGTCCCACTCTTCTCATTTAAATTCAAGTTTGTTTGTCGAAACGAAAAAAAAGGAATAAAAGAAAAAAGTCACGAGGAAAAAGACCAATGGCGGAGTCCAGATGAAAATGTTAATAATAAAACAACAAAATCCAAATGAATGCGTTGCAAATCGAAAAATAATAAAAAATAGAATCGCCTGCCCATCCCCGCTTCTGTCTCCTGTCTGCAGGACATCAAGTCCCCCAGTCAATGCCTCATTACGTATTCCCTGAACAAATTCTATTAATTATCGTTATGTCCTTCTGATGGGTGACTGCTATCAGAGGGCTCCCGCTGGTTACTCGCTTGTTTCTTAATAAAAGTTACACGGGGATTTTAATTTCGTTCAGTAATCTGTGTTTACGTCCTCTGAAAAGTACGTGGAATTTTTATTAATCCTTAAAGAGATTTTTATCATGATTCGTGAAAATATAAAACTATTGGTAATTATAAACGGTATGATTTAAATAAAAATAAAAGACTCTCCAAGTTTTAAGGTTTGTCCATTGATTTTGACTTTATTTTCCTTTATTTTTCATTCACTGACAATCGAAAATCAAAAAATAATTTTGTGTGCACTTGCCATGTGGAATCCAGTTACTAAATTATTCCCAATTCAATTTCCGATGGCCAAATAAAATCACAGGCAGCCAACTAAAGAAATGGGACATCGAGCACTTCTATTGGGATATGCAGAGATGAGCAATTTGTTGTTCTGAAGCTGCTGGTCCCCGTCATGGAAAATTCTAAATGTTTCAATCAACTATTCGCAATATTAAATATTAACGTAAAACTCGAGTGGAGTTGTCTCGGACTGACCCTTTCGATGTCGGACCCAAAAAGGTCATCATGTGTCTGCAAACACACTTACTCCGACTTACATTACATAGATACGAGTGAGTACACTCAAAATAAAATATTACAGATTATAATAAATATATGTTTAGTAAATTTACAAAAAATAAATTTTATTGGTATTAAGAATTAAACAGAATAAGGGCCGGTTTCTCGAGTGCCGGCTAACATTTCTCGAACAGATAAAGTCCCTGCTAAGGCATTTTGACTTTCTCGAGCATAAATGTGAGAGCTAACTTTGACAGGGACTCGGAGTCCCTGTTAAGCGTTTTCGGTTCGATAGAATGACAGCTGATTTCCCAAAGCCAACTAAGAATAAGAAACGAAATCACAGCTGACTTTTCCTTTGAATTATACCCAAACAGCTGATGAAATAATCGAAGCACGCCATTTTTTGCCCTTCACAGCACAATTCTGTGCGTTAACAGCACTCTGTAATTGTTTCTCGTTCAGATAAATTAAAGCAGTCGAGAAAGCGGATTTGCTTTTACGAACAGTTTATCTGGTATTTAAGTTTTTCGAACAGATAGCTATCAGGGACTTTGACAGGGACTCGAGAAACCGGCCCTAAAAGTGAAAAAATATATGCAATATTTAAAGAGAAAATACTACAAAAAAATGCAATAATTTCTAACTGTGTAAAGAAGCTGGCTAAGTAATTTTGGGCATTTTTCATCATAAACAGCAATGACTACGCTTGCAGTCGGAGGACCCAACCCCTTCTGGGAATTTCTTCCTTGGCCAGACTTTGATTTCGAATTGGATTTGAATTTGGAATTTTTGGCTTTCAAGGACCGCCGGAGGTTGAATTGGAAATGGCACTGGAGTCCGAGTTGGTCAAGTTGGTCAACGCATAAATATTTCTCTTTGTTCGGATCCAAAAAAGAGCAGTACGTGAGTGTGCGAGTGTGTGTACCTGTATATCCTGGCCGCACTCTGCACTCATCTCTCACCTCCCCCACCCCCTGTACCACCCCCGGCCCCCTGTCTGGCCACCCCCTTTGCAGCCACCCCTGCACCAGCACAAACAAACAAGCAGAAGGATCTGGGAAGGAGTCGTGGGCAGATGGAAAGGATGGTCAGATATGAGCAACGGTCGAATGGTCAAGTCAAAGTTATTGTCATGTCATGTAAGTGCCAGCCACCCACCACCCACCATTCACACCCCTTTCTGTATCCTCTCTCGGTCAGATTTTCCAATTTCATCTTCATCTTCCATACAGTACAAGTATACCATTTTGTTTTTCCTTACGGCGCACAGTGGGCACTGAAATTGATTTTTACAACGTTTTGTGGAATTAATGGAATAACCCAAGACGAAATAAAAGAAATACATAAATATTAGAATAAATGGCAATGATTTTTTCTGATGACCTGACATGTAATCTTTACATGTTTGCTAATCATAAGTTTTGGACTGGTTAAAATATTTCTTCGGACTTCGAGCTTCATATAAAATAATGTTTTTGATGTTTCTTTACAAATACTTAAAAATAATTACCCCTAAAAAATCGATTGTGTTAAAAAAAGTCTATGTTGTTTTGAACTTAGTTTTGCTAAAAAATAACTAAAGAACTAAATAATTTAAGTAATAAATGACACTTTGGATAATCTTAAAAAATCGAAAACTGAGGCATAAGTAAATAAATAAAAATACAATTTGTAAGACTCTTCAATCACTTAAACTTGTAAAAAAATCCCCCTGAAGCTGGAAAATAAGTCGACAATGCATGATGAAAAAGTTGTCACACGTGCGCTGAAGTTAAATGTAAACACACCTTCTAAAAAACCATCATCAGAAATTCACCGAAACTTTTCATAAGTTTGAAGAGCACTGGGGGAGATCGTGTTCGAGAAAAGGTTTTCCCTTGGGTTGGGTAAAATGTAAATATCGGTTGTAATGGCCGCCGCCCCCGGGAGGTGGAAAAATCAACTGACCAGTAACTTTGGAGCCAACTTTGATGGCATCTTGCGAAAGTTGAAAGTGACTTAAGTGAAATTTCCACCTCAGGCGGCCCAGCAGGACGGCCTCGCCCCCTTTTCCTTTGGATTTTCGAGGGGTCACGCCATGAACATGAGTAAAAATTAAATTGATTTTCCTCGGACATTGTTCGCCTTTCTTTTTGGCCCTCCATGGTCTTTTGACAACCCTATGGATTTCGGAGGGGCTTTTTTTTTGTCGTTGCTAGAATCCTTCAGGAAACTTCTTCTTTGCGAACTCCTTCAACTGGCCTGAGTCGCATATTAAATTGGTGCGCAAATAGTTGGAGACTCTGTCCTGTATTTTATTGACTCACTTCATAAAGCCCTTTGCTTGAGTTTGTCGCATCTGCCCAAATGTTTGCCAAGCAAAATATCAACTTAAAAGCTTCCCCCATACCATCGACCGAATCCGCATTCCCATACCACGGGACTTAGGCGACAATTTCATTTCAATTAAATTATAATTATATCTTCAGTTTGGCCCCATCAAGTTTCAGTCAAACAAAAAGAACAATTTTCATTTTCACCTTTGCAAAAGACGGCAAAAGAGGCGAGCGTTGATAATTTCCCAAAATTGTTTGACACTTCAAAGTCATTATGAAGATAGCAATCAGCAACCCCGTTTCTCGGTCCGCTCGACTTTTCCTCCAGGTTCCCGACATTTCTTCACGGCCCGGCATTCACTCCAGCCCCCATTCCTGAACCTCGGCAATCCTTCAGGTCCACCCCCCGCCCTCTGCCACTTTGCTCAATCCCAAGATGGGACTGCCACGTCTGTCTACATACCTACATACCCGCAGCGCTTTTTGATGTAATTTTGGCATAAGCCAAAAAATGTTTCCTTTCTCGAGATGTCTTTTTCTCCAGTCCCCAGCAAGTGGTTTTCGAATGCGACACGCTCTGACAAATTCATCCGGGGAAAATGAGCAAAATGGCTGAAAATTAAATTTGGAATTAAAATTTTAGCGTTGCGCACATAACTTTATGCCCCCGGACTTCCTTTCCACCCTAAAAGGTTTCATTTCATGGGGCGATTTCTTGTCAAGTGAAGACGTTATATTAACAGATAACAGAGATGAAGACTATTACGTTCTATATTTATCTTTTTAAACTTAGTTCTGTATCAGAAAAATATGTCAAATTTAAATTAAAAAATACAATTGGTTTAAAATTTTATAAATGTATTTTTTGTATTTTGCGGCGATATGTTTCTAGCTATCGACAATCCTACAGATCAACCTATCGCTTATTTTAATAAACAAATACCATTCCGCACTTTTTTGTGAATGGCAGTTTATCAGCTGATCGGCTCTTTGTGTTTTTAAAAATAAACAAAGAAGACATTTTGGCAGCAGGTATTTCTCATTTTGCTTTCACTATTTATTTTGATTTAAAAGTTTGATTTTGTCTGTTTCGAGCTTATTTTTTAGTTATCAAAGGGTAAGGTATAGTAAAATAATTATACAATAATAAAGATATATTTTTTCATGTGCGCATAAATAACACAAATTTAAAACTTGTTTTAGCGAATGAATAACTGCTTAAGACCAAGTCAAAGTTATGGAAATTTGTATTTACCTTTAATAATATCAAATGTATTTAATACAGTTTATAACCGAAACATTAATATATTGTTATACATATATATTTTTCTTTTGGTCTTAGATCACTATAAAATTCGTTGTTTTATTATTAAATATGCTTGAATTCAGCAAGCTATCAGCTAATCACACATTTGTATGTCTGAGTATATATATTTTTTTTTGAATAAGAGAAAGATTGCTGGTGATTCACCGGGATTTCGTTGCAAGAAATATAATTCTAAGATAACGTATGTAAATATATTCCCAATATTTCTTTACAGTTTGTGTGAGACTCGATCAGATGGGTTGTCGCCGATTTCCTGGGGGAGGTCATCGATCCCATGGAGGTCCGCCTCCCCATGGTGGACATCATGGTGGTCATCGTGGTGGCAGACACTGTGGGCACGGACATCCTCATCCCCCTCCACCCCACCATCGTCCCCATGGACATGGTGGTCACTTTTGGAAGGGATGTGGTCCTCCTCCACCCCCTCCCCATTGTCCACCCCCTCCGCATTGTCCACCACATGGGGGATATCCATATGGTGGTCACTATTGGCAGGGGTATCCTCCGCCGCCACCCCCTCACCACCACGCACCACCTGCAGGATCTTCAGGAGGTGGTTGTCAATATTGCGGGTGTCCAGGTGGCGGTCCACCTCAGAGTGGCAATCCCGGGATCGAGCTACCGCCCCAAGGAGAAACTCCAAACAATGATCAACATGGTAACAATTCTTCCGGAAACACAGGCAGCACACAAACCCCAAATCCTGGTAATGGAGCTACTGGTAATGAAACACCTGGTCAGAATAAATACGAAATCATTGATCTTTAGAAAACGGGATTTTAACAAAATGCATTTACTTAGCTGTTGAAAATATATATGTACCTATATTGTCGAATATTATATAAAATATTTATTTTGGCAACAACAGAGATTCTCTAAACTTATCTATCAAATAAAATAAAATATTTTAATGCGTTCTTCACCAAAACCCTGGGTTTTACCTTTCTTATTTTTCCCCCCTTTCAAAGGCATATTTTATTCATTTTATGGTAAAAACCAGATGTCGCCAGCATTGTTGGTATACATTCCGTTTTCAGGTAGAAGACCGAGAAAAATTTTCCAATAAACGTATATGGAATGGTATCCCATGAAAATCTGCCTGGCAGGTAGAATTCTTTTCGGCTACCTACTCGTATTTTCCCTGCTTTGGTATAAATGGTAAAGATTTTTGAAAATCACTTCAGTACTAAAATATTTCCCGTCATGAAACTACTGGTGCGTTATCTCGCTGTGAAAAAGTTGTTTAAAGGTCTCATTATTAAATTTTCACTCCCATAGATTTCGCTGTCTGTATTGGTGGTCACTGCTGCCGCTCAAATTGGAATTGGCCAAGGCGGACTCGGTGGTCAAGGAAATTTTGGTGGCCAAGGAGGACTTGGAGGACAAGGAGGGTTCGGAGCACAAGGAGGATTCGGTGGACAGTTTAATTTGAATGGTCAAGCTGGATTTGGTGGCCAGGCAGGAATTGGTCAGGGAGGAGTTCGCCCGAGTCAAGGAGGATTCGCTGGACAAGTCCCAATAAATCATTATGAGCCCGGTTCTGGAATTCCTGTGGGTTCTGGTCATTATCACGGAGGTAATCCTGTAGGACCTGGTAATTATCATGGAGGTAATCCTGTAGGACCGGGTAATTTCCACGAACATCCGGAACATCATGGCGAACATCACCGCGATCATCATCATGAGCACCATGGACACCACGACCACCATGCACATCATCGTCACTAGTTCAGACATTATTTTATACCTAATGAAAATAAAGTGAATTTCCACTAGCGACTATAATAAAATTTAATATGCAGAAAAAAACTATTAAAAGTGTTCTTTGATGCAATACCACGTAACTCTCTAAGGTTATAAAAGTGATTGAATTATTTCTTATCTCACACCATGTTCGAATCCACACTTTCATCTCAAATTTCAGTATCTAAAATGAAATAACTGAGTCACAAAAAATGGGATAAATAAGGAAACGGAACCCTTTACTCTGTCCATTTCGGTCGAGACTTCTATAAATTATTTCTCAGATAAAACATATACATACTCCACAGGGTGGGGACCCACCCACACCCCATCTCAACTTTTGCAATCGGAGAAAAGGCTGCTGTCGACCGCTCCCCAGCGACATTTTCTGACCAACGCAACTGACAGAATTGAAAAATAAGCGACTCAGAGGGCGGAGCGGGGGAGGGGGGAGGTGGGTTTCAGGAGGTTGGGGACTGAAGGTGAAAAATAAAAAATGGCGTCCAGTCGAGTGCTCAACCTCAAGATTTATAACGAAGAGAAAAAAAGTGGGCGAGGGTGGGAGGAAAGAGCACACGTTAAAATAATGCAAAAGCTGAAGAAGACTAAAAAAATATGCGGGAAAAACACCCACACATTCGTGAAAAGAGCGAGAGGGAAGACCACACACACACACACACACACACACACTGATAAACGCAACAACGGAAATGGAAAGGATAAAATTAATTTTTCTCTTTTTTGCCATTTACTTCACCTGCTGCTTTCCTCCTACTCGCGTTTTTCCTTCAAGGCGAACGGAAAAGTGGCTCGCAAAAGGGCGATGGGTGGTCCAAAGGGTGACCCACCCAAGCGGCAACATTGCTGACGCTATCAAACACCACAAACACATTTAGTTTGCGGCGAATTTGTTTTTTCTCACTGCTTCTTCTTCTAGCAATTTGCGCCATAAAAATGTGCAAAAAAAATTGCTAGAAAAATAAAAACGGAATAAAAAAGCCATGAGAAGCAAGAAGAAAGTTGCGGACAAATAAAAATGGCATAAAAATATTTAACTCACCTGAGAAGTGCGAAATGGGTTCCCAATACACTGTCAAAAAAATATGCTATAATACCTTTGTATATTAAAAAGATATACTTATTTAAAGAATGTCGATTATCCCAAAATTATTTCTCCTAGTTAAAAATATCATCCAACACAGAATAAAAAAAATGTTAAAAGGTAATTTAGATTTTTAAAATCTTTATAATTTATTTAAATATTTAAAAATATTTTCACTTGCCTCCCAAGATTTAAAATTTCGGTTTTGGATCACGTTCACCCGTCTATTTGAATGGGCGTGTCAGTGGCGAGACTTTCCCGTAGCCACAAGGTTCTTTCTTTTTCTCTTCCTCCATCTCTGGTCTACATAGTCCGTACTATAAAATATCTATAATAAATCTACTTTTTTCTGCAACAAAAACTGAAAAACTCACTGAAGCCTCGTCAAATGAAAAAGACAACAAGAAGAGAATTTAATACAGAAAGTCATGGACATGTGAAGGGAAAGGGCAGAATGTAGCCGTGTCCAGTTCAAAGGGAATAAAAAGTGGAAACCAATAACGGCAATGGGGATGCAGGGGGAGCTGGGATAATCCGCTGGAGCAGGAATAAAAAGGAAACAGGGCAAACCGAAGCGAAGTGAAGCAATAAAAATGAAATGGGAGTACCAGGAAATAGGAAGAGCATCCTGTCAAATGGGAAATATTATGTCCCCCCTTTGGATCAGATAACCAGATGAAAGTGGAAATGGGATGACCTCACCTAGAAGTTCTCTTCTCTCCAACCCCTCAAAAATATTGCGCATACGCAATGTGCGACGACGCCATTCGGGTGGGGAATTATGAAAGTGACCGCAGGAATTATGAATTTGCTTGTTCCTCTCGGCCAATCAAAAAGGCGACCCGTCATGTCAGCCAACCACAGGAAAGGCTCGTTGAACCTGCGCTTATTGCATAAAGTTATGCCATCATAATCCATAACGATTCATACATACCCTCTGCAGAGGAAAAGAAAAACCTACAAGACGATGTTGTCGTTGGCTTCAAATTACAACCACAAAACGGAAAGGGGGCCGAATTCAGCCCTTAAAAGGCAACCACCCACACGCACACCACCGCTTTTCGCTTAAGTCAACAAAAGAGGGGGAAAAAGCGAAAAGAAGGCGATTTTTGGGGGTGAAATGCCGAGTGAGGCGGCAGCACCCTCAGTGCCACCCAATTATAACCGTATGGGTAAGTCTGCGTTTGGGTGGCTCATTCGAGCTGCTCGCTTTGTTATTGTTTCATTTTTCCCGTTTTCCCTTCGATTTTTCTTCTATTTATATACGTGCCAGCGAGTGTATTTGTATTTATGTGGGATATAGCCAAGAATCGCAAGATACACGTACGCACAAGCATTCGGGCAAAGTTACTGCGATACGTGCAACATCATAAAAAGGACAAAACAATAACAATAAAAATCATATATACTCAGACCCCACCACCTACATTTACCACCCACCACCCCATGTGTATGTATGTGGGCTTATATAAAAATAAACGAAAACCGTTAAGATATGAGCGTCCACAAGGAATAAGGACTGGCACTCCCCGCACTCCCTTTATTTTTCGAATGCTTTTCTCAGGATTCAATGGTCAATGCCTTCGGTCCTGCTTACACATGAAATAAGTGTCTCTGGGGACAAAATTTACAGGAAAATTACACAAAAGTACTAACATTTTTAATTTAGTTTTTGTAATGGTTAATCCTGGCTAATGGTCATGACTCATTAGAAATTTATTATAAGGAAAACCGAAAATAAAACATAGTTCCATTGTTCCCTATTTTCCAAAATATTAAGTATATAAATATTAAAAAAAAAATGTAAAAGATAGAAACAATGAACTTAAATTATACTTACTTAACTTCTTAATTTAACTTCGATTGCAAATCATAAAAATATAGGTATAATTATTTAGTTATTGATAAAAATTTTTCGGATTTTCACGATGTTTCACCAGTATGTAAATAAAATGTAATAAAATGTATGTAAAATAAAAATCTTACCGGCTTTAAAGTGCTTTAATAAAAGCTCAATTTAATTTCAAATGCAGGCCCCAAAAAAATCCACAAAAGATCACTGGGCATTCTATCTTGCGCTTAGCCTTTTCTATGTGGCATATGGCATGTCAGCGCCTCCTTGACTGGACTCCATCGATTTCCCTTAGCGGCAAATAAAAACACATTAGACCAGCTAAGAACCTCATTTATGAAGAGAAGGAAGTAAAGGAGGGAAGTGCAGAACCAAGGATACGACATTCGCTGTTTGGCTTGATAAAATGCGTTAAAACGAAAATTAAGCAACACAATTAATGGACTCGCTTTATCATACAATTTTAATGGCTCAAATAAATTGCCGAGAACTAGCCCGGCGAACCAAATAGCCTTAGACTGAATCTAGAGCACACACACACTCTCTCGCCCTGTAAAAGTTTTTGTATTTCTTTGTCTGCCATAAACACACTGCCACAAATGGATATACCATACATATTTATATATTTGACCAGCTTCCATTTTCACGATTCAATTTGGTCCTAATCTTAATTAGTTTCAGGTTGCTGTTCATAGTCTATTCCAGTTTTATAGCGCAGCTGATCCGATGCCCTCTAATGGAGTAGTTTTCGGGGAGGATTATCCAAGTGATAGCACCATCGATATGTTGAAGAGTGTATTTTCCCGATTGTCCAGGACTTGTAAAAATATTTGAGTACTATTCTCTGGCCTCACAATCTAAAGACAAATTATATTGTAATATGTATCTTTACTTTATCATGTCATATTAAGCAACTTATTGCTTTTTTAAAGTTTTTAAATAGTTCATAGTTCACGAATCAATAATTTCTAATGATCTTATGCGACTACATTTTTTTCTAAAACATTTCAAACACTGATAAATATACAAACCACTAAAATATTATTTTCCATTACTTAAAGTATTCTTAACGTATTTTTAATCCAAGAAAAGCTTGCAGTATAATTCGAATTAGTTGATCGCAAATATAAATATATACTTTTTGTTCTTCTTCCGTGCATGTCCAAGGTTTATCTTATACGGAGCAACACCCCAATCTGTTGAAGTATGACATCATATTTTAGGGCCCACCACCCCTCTCTACACCAGATCATCACTCTCCCCGAAAGAAAAACCACACGACATGGCCTAAGCCCGGACTGGACATTGTTATAAAAGTGCAAACAAACATGGCCGGCTTGGGTGGTGTTGGGGGAAAATGCCGACCAACCGAGCCGAAACTAAGAAGAATTTAGCTAAACTGGGCGGAGGCAAAGTGAAACGAGTCCACAACTTGACCAGAAAGAGGAGCCGGGATTCAAGAGCAGCGGCCGCAGAAATATTCGAGGAGGAAACGCGCTGTTTCTTTTTTGTAGTGCCACACACCAGAGATACGAAGGTATTATAGTTACGAAAACAAGGTACAAAGGGTACACATTTCAAAGGGAAAAATTGTGCCGAAATTCTCAGTGTATAAAATAGCAATATTAATCCTTTTCGAAGCCACTAAAAAATATTTTAAAAAATATGTTATCGTTTTATATTAATACCTTTGATTTTCAAAATTTCCACTTCGAAGCAACTAAAAAATATTTTTTAAAATATATTATCGTTTTATATTAATAAATTTGATTTCCAAGCTTTGCAATTAAATTGCTAAACATACACTATATTTAAATAAATTATGCGTGTACAAAAACAAATAAAATAGATTGCAAGGTATGTAGGTATAATAAATTGTTAGCTAAATGATCTTTAAACTTAAGGGAACTGAACAAGCTGTACCTTACTGATAAATAGATGGGAAACTGATAAAAAAGGATTTGGATATGCTTCAAATTTAGGTTTTACTTTCTAAAATTTTGTACCTATAGGTACATATTTCTTGAAATGTACCCAAAACCAACTATCAAAATTCTTCCCAGCACTGCGCAAGCGAGAAAGTTAGATTGTGGGAAATTATGAAGCTGAAGACGTGGGGCGGTGGGGTGGTGGTGCGGAGCCAGGGGTGTGGGTCAGTGGGTGGGTCAGCGGGTGGCCGAGTGTACAGGACACCGCCGACCTGAGCAAAGGACAACAGAATAACAAAAGGAAAAGCGACGCACACACACACACATACACACTGGGAAAAAATGAGAAACCGTGTGGTCCGCTGGCTCGGCAAAATAAATCGCTGGACATAAAGGCAGGCGAGTGCAAGCGAGACAGAGGAAGGGCCAGAAGAAGATGTTGCAGGAGCCGAGGTGCGAAAGAGAGGGCAAGCTGGTTGACCAAGAAGGAAAGAGAGGCAGCGAGCGCCAACAGGAATAAAAAATTGAATGAAATATTTTTATAACCACACACACAGACACACACACACACCGAGCAAGGAGCAGGAAATAGAGGGAAAAATAGAGAGAAAGAGAGATGGCGAACAGGGAGCGAGTGGGAGGGAAAGAGATGGGTAGCTGAAGGATATTGATGGGGCGCAACAGTAAAAGGGAACCCAAGGAAAAAGAAACGCCAACTTGCTTATCAAATATGAAGGAACCGAAAGTGGGTCGAGGTTTTGGGTGGTGCGGTTGTGGGGTGATGGGTGGTGCGGCTGTGGGGCGTTGGTAGTATCATAAAAGCCATGAGCTCACCTGGGGTAGTTGGGTCGAAAGTTTTATGGATGCCCACTGCCACGACAGGTGGTCAGAGCACGCCCACCGCCCACAGCTTTTCCGTCTTTCACATATTTTCCAACGCTTCCTTCCTTTTTCTCTCGTAGTCATAAAAACAGGGTGCAAGGAGGATCGAATGGGAGCTGGCACACGTGCGGATAATAAAAAATGTTTTACTTTTCAATCGACCAATAATATGGCGTTCAATGGACAGGCCAAACGTGCTAAACCCAAACAAAGGACCATCCAACCCGAACTCGCAGAGCTCCATGGAAGGGGAATAGGAATAGGGGGATACACACACACGTACGTAGTTCAATCATCGTTAAAAAGAATTTCATTTTGAAAAATGCCAGAACTTCAATAAATTATATTGCTTCTGGACCGCAGAAAGGAAACTGGGGGCAGTCAGGGGATAGGGAAGGAGCTATGTAGCCAGGGCCAGCTTCGCTATCATAACCACAATACAAAGAAATTGGGTGGGCAAACAAACAAAGCAAAAAAAAAAAGGAAAAAGAAAAGCATCCGCCGTTGGTATCCGTAAGATACTCGGGTGCGGACAGGTGAATCAGGTCATCGGGGGCGCTGGGAAATGGGAAATGGGAGCGAGAATTGAGGACCGGAGACCCGGAGCCAATGGCATTCTATAGCGTCAGCGTCTCCAGCTGCCCGCTCGATGGTTATTGGTTCGCGTTGCAGTAATATAATATACACACACCCACACAGACTCGGATATGTGAAATAAAAATTGTGAAATGAAAGGAGGAAAGCGGAAAAAATGCTGAGAAAAAACTGAGGTGGAAGCCATAGAAAACTATTGGAAATGCGCGGGCTGAGAGGGCAGATTTTAACTCAACTTTGTTGCAACGCGACATTTTTCAGCCCTCGAGGTTAAGGGGTGGTGGGCTAAAGTGGATGGGCGAAAGTGGGTGGCCGCCATTGTCATAATGACGCGCATTCCTGTGCACTTGGCTGTGGATTGCAGGATCCCTTTTGCCTGCCCGCCATTCGCTAATTAAGTCATGGGATGTCCTGTTTTCCGACAGCACTGAAAGAATTTTAAACCTATTCTTCAACCGAGAAAAAGGAAGAATTTTTTTGCTTAAACTTATATTATCCCCTAAACTTTAAAGTTCCATTGCAGCAGTTCTATAAAGAATAATTGGAATATTTATTTTTTATGTGCTTACAAAATATTTAAAAGAATTTATTAAATTAAAAAGTTACAAATTAAAAAGCTTTTAACAATCGATCATTTTTGTTTCAATCATTTTTATAAATCCATATATATTTATCACGGTTTTGGTTTATTTATTCCACAATATGTGATCTACGTTCAAGACAATACTTTAGTCACAATCGGGTTTTCTCGATTTTCGATCGTTTCTTTTCTGCTTCTTTTTCTTACACAAAAGTGGTTCGTTCTTGTCTTTGTAAGCCGGTGGCAAATGAAGTCTCGAAGATTTATTTACGATTTGGGCGCAGTTGATTCTGCAGTCGTAGCGAGTGCGGAAATTGTTTTGATTGCCCATACAACCGCCGAAGGTGAACTTGACGCACTTGTTCATCGACTTGTAGTACGTCCATCGAGGAATTTCTGCATCGCAGGGACCCCTTTGTGCTATTGGCTGATCACAGGGCAGCACTGGCAGCATAAAAAATAACAAATATCAACAATCTTTTGTTACTATTTGAATTTGAATAATTTATATATTTTTATATAGAGTTACTCACCCATTACTCCTGCCACCGCAAAGGAGACACCATTTAGAATAAGAACCAATACAAGTTGATTCATCTTTTTTTGTGATAACTACTTCCATTCGATCTCATTGTGTTTCTATTCTAATATTTTGCGATTGGTTTCAACTGGATGGCGAATTAAGCCATGTTATGGAAGTTTATTTGTAATTGACATGATCTAAAAACTCTTTGAAGCTGATATTAGGTTAAAAAGGGAAAATACCTATTAAAAATAAATACAACATATCCTTTAAAATATTATGCTTATATACAACATTCCTGTTGTTAATTCTTTAGAAAGCTATTTATTTTTAAGAATCATTATTTTTTTGACTAAATGAAAAAACGGCCCCAAGCAAAGGCAGTTCCCAAATCTTCAGCTAAGTATGCCCCAAACGATATGACAAGTGAAAACTTCCCGCTCCCCTGCGGATGCGTGTGTAAATTCCCCAGAAGCTAATCAGGCAAGCCTAACGAAATTTGCTTGGAAAATCCGTCAAAGTCACAGGCGTTCGGCCCGCGGCTGGCATCGCAGGCCATTAGCCTATAAAAGCGCCCACACATGTCAGCCGAAAGTCCTCGAGGCGCACTCCGCCCGTTGTCATCGCTATCGGTATCCACAGGAGTATCGGCATTATCATCATTTCAGAAGCCAGGACACGCCAGGAACTGTGCTGCGATGCTGGATATTTTCGAGCCAACTCTGGAATTTTTTTTTTTTAATATTTATCTCTTATTTTCGAAATACTTACCTCTCTTACATGTGAATTTCATGAAATTAATCTATTAGGATTTTAAATTAAAGTATACAAAACTAACTTAAAGTTAGGATCTATTAATTAATTTGAAATTTAAAGTGTGACGTTAAAAATCGATTTTTTAAGGAATGATCTATGGCATACTATCTCATTTTTTCGGTAATAACTCCGTTAAAAATTGCAAAAATTATTTGGAGCTTAAGGTTTAATCGATAAAAAAATACTCTGCCCAATGTCTTGAAATCAAACCAGGAATTACGTTTTTTATGTAACTCAGAAACTTAAATACATTTTTTCCTTCAAATAAAACGAATAATCTTCCAACCCTTTAGCCGTAGCTGGCATCACTGCCTTGAAAAAAAGCTGGAAATCTGATACTTTCCCGAAAAACGCGTCAAACTTTGGCAGCCGCTGGCTCACTGCTTCAATGGAGGGGAGTGGATTCCTAAAAAATGTGTTGCATGTTTATTTGAAAAATCGCTAAAGGATAACTAAAGGATTCCCCTAAGGGTATTTCGCAAGCGCGAGTGATTTGTTTGCGAATTTACATACATACAAGCGCACTCCTTACCCTCAGAACAGAACTCCCAGGGTGTTTTCCAACTCGTTGAACAGCCAGCTCGCCGCTTTCCTTTCTTATTTTCCCCAGCTCATGCCACTCAATACGCGGCGGCAATAATTTTGCATAACGAATAAGTTGAATAAGTAAAAGTATCCAAATTGAATCAGTGCAGAATAGAAACCGCCGAGGGAGTGAGTGGAGTGGCATATTCACCGACAGGTGGCGGTGTTAAGTGGCAAATTCAATTTCGCTGGCAGTATACAGCTCCGAGTTGACATTTATGAGACGCCATTTTCGTGGCGGTTTTCTTTCATCGACTGAGGGGCATATCGATTTCCAGCTATTTTCGAGAAGGGTGAGCAATCCCCAAATGGCAGAGGCAGCATCATTAACTAACCTGCCCCGGAGTCGTCGGTAAATAATGTAATTTATGAATTACAATTAAAAATGCGCCAAGGGCAGAGGACATAGAGATAGAGCCGGCCACATGTGTCCGCCCCTTTGGGGTGTCTGGCCATTTTTGTGCTTTGCTCATCAGTCCTGATCCTACCCTGCTCCCCTTGCCACTCCTTGATACTGTAATAAAACTCCCCATTTGGTCATTTGGCAATTATCCCGATAAATTAGCAGCCGGACAATGGCACAGCAGCGTCGCATCGCCATCCAACCACCCACACTGACCCTCTGTTTCCTCCTTTGTTTTCCGGAAAATGAACAGGGGTTGGTAACTCGAGACTTTGAATTTAGCGATTTCAATTGTCTAGGCGATTTTATGCGGTTTAACCTTGCGATTATACACGTATGTAGGTTAAAATGAATGAATAAAATAAAATGTATCTATTTAATATATCAAATATATTTGTTATATTTTTCCCCCAGCAGCTTAAATAATCAGGGATTTGAAATTATTTAACTTAAATATTTATTAAATATTATTTATTATTTATTTAGAAGATAAATAAAGCATATTTATTTATCTAATTTATTAAAAAATCTTTTTTGGTTTTATTTAGATTAAATTAAAAATTTACCATTTAAAAAAGTTTAAATTTTGCATTCTTAATCTTAATCTAAGGTAAAACCAGCAAAATAAGATTATATTAACGTAGTTAGAGATACTTTATTTATTATTTATTTTATTTAGATAAAGTAAAGCATTTGAATTTATGGTTTTTGCTTAGAATAAATTACAAATTTACAATTTTAAATTCAACAAAGGTTTAATATTGCATTCTTAATCCAAAGTAAATAGAGTAAATAAAAAATTGTCTATAACAAAATTATTAATTAAATTGTTTTGTAATACATTTTTTTCTTAACAATCATAACTTATTCTATGCTATTAATAGCATTAAGTCCTTTTTAATGACAATTTCTCATCCCCGAAAGTCGGCCCAAAGTTCCCATTTTTTACCTCTTGTTTATTTTTTGTGTGCAACACTTTTCAGGTGAGGAAAATCGGCTTTTCAGGTTAACAAAATCAACTTGGTAACGAATTAAAACGAACCGAAAAGCGAGCGTCCAGCAAAAACGGGCAGAAGTGCAAACAGAGGGGGGAGGGGCGGTTGTAGGGGCTTTGGAAAAATGCAAAATAAACGAGGGGCTGGCAAAAACGAAGGCAGCGAGCGTGTAAAAGGCCTCGCAAACTCAATCAATCAACGGACGGTATAAAGCGCGTATACGCAGTGTTGTCCATGCCAAAGTAACAAATGAACACACAAACACACACATGGAGAGCAAACACAGACGCACAGGCACACACACACAGACTCAGGTTGTTAGCCGCTTGTTTCGCACTGCTTGCCAAATACCACAAAATCTATTTCGATTCGCAATCAAAATCCCAAATTCCATTTGTACTATGACGAGTCCGTACCGGGACCATGGACTATGGACTATGGACTATAGAGTCCGGACTTTGGACTGCCGACGTACCGACCATTTGTGCGTGTGTGGAGTGGAGTAGGCCGGAGATTGGGAGAGACTGCGATTGGGAAATCGTGGCCAACTTGTGCTTGAGTGCTTTCGTTTGTATTTAGTGGTGGACTTAAAAATACAGAGGCCCCCAGTCCAGGTGCCCCCATCCCCTCACTACCCCTAATCTCGATGCAACCCCTTTGATTCGGCCCCCCAAAAAGTGGAACTCCCACAAAGGCCGTGGCCACAAACGCATCCGGCGCTGACGTTGAACGATGAGTCGCCGCTGAATGCCGAACGGTCTATGCCCATTTCCATGTCCTATTCCCCTATCCCGAAACACTCGGAAAAAGTATCAGTCGCATATTGAGTTTTAAAATCACCAATGAATGTGTCTTAAAGTATGCAACAATTTTTATTCCGAAAGTCTGATTCCAAACGAGGACTTTTTTGCCTGCAACTTTGAGAAAAAAAAAGTAAAAACTATTTATAAAATATTTGATATTTAGGTGTGCCTCAGAAAACCCTCCCAACCTAATTTTCCCCTGAAATCAAATCTCTGAGTAATTTAAAATCGACCAAACAATTGGCCTTTAAAAACAAGGTTCCTAAAATTCGGGAAAAATGTACTACGAAACTCCTACAAAACTCTATGGATTCTGTGACAAACCATCCCTCCCTGAAATCGTCTACTATTACTTTAAAGTTTAAACGAACCAAATAGAAGGCTTTAAAAAAAATATTCCTAAAATCACATAAGAATTACTCCGAAACTCCTACATATCTCTGCAGATTTCCCAAAACCGTCAGAAATTTCTGAATCTCTTTTTAAATTTTTAAAAACCCCAAATATTTTTAGCAGTGCATCCGTTTGTGATCCGCCCCTCCCCAACCGGTTGTCCATTCAGCTGCCATGTTTTCCAATTTTCGGCGCACTGCGTTGCATTCAGATTCGTTCAGATGCACCAGCAGTAGAACAACAGCCACCAAACGCCGCTCGCTTCTCCCGAAATTTAGTCATTGTTCGCGAAATTGCTTATAAAAGCGACCCTCCTGCCGCTTCCCTATTTTCCGGCCTGTCCAATCTGACCTGCCATGTCGACGCTTTAGCTTTAGTCGGGCCAAATTCAGAGGGGGCTGATTGCAACTCTTTGGCTTTGGCTCTGGTGGTTGGCCAACCGCAGCGAGCCGCTTTCCGATCGCCGGAGCCCCAAGTAAAAATATTATTACACTCTCGCGGCCCCCAGTAAATGGGGGTTCCCCAGTGGGTCAGCACACACAGCCGCCGCGCGAAAAACCACTTGCGCCCAAACGCGAATTTATTCACCGGAAAATGTTGGAAAATTAACAAAACGATTGAGTGGAAGACCGCTTAAGGGTCTTACTATGTCTATGTCTAGATGACATGAATATGGTTGGGGAACTGTTGAATTATAGTAAATTAAGGTAATATTGATTGATATTGATGTTGAATAATAATAACAAAATGAAGCCCCTTTTAAATACTATCACGTAATAACAAACAAGACCCTCAAAACCCTCTTATATCCGAAAATAAATGAAAAACATGGCTACGGACGAAAATGGTAATACAAGAAGTTAAGACGGCCCATAACTTTTGACTAGAAAGTCCTATTTAAAACAGATTTACTGAGTTTATAGGTCTTGATGAGTAGATCAAAGTTGCCATACAAACCTTCTTTCTATCTCTTTTTTGGTTTTTCTAAAACGCTCTTATATCCGAAAATAATTGACAAACATGGCTACGGACGAAAATGGTTAAAGAAGTAAATGCAAAGTAAATTTACACAAGCAGTCGTTAATAAGCTAAATTTTGATTTAATAAGTTTCTTTGTAAAGAAAGCATAAATATTGTAATAAACTCTACAATTAATGGATATATTTTTACATGGGAGTGTCCAATAAAGTGTTGATTTGCCTTATCCCTCGGCAGTGACAGCTACTCCAACGCTTGTCGTCGTTTCCTTGGGCGATTCCTGCGGCTGCACCAGCGCCTTGGTGGGGAGTAAATGCTTCAAAGGCTCCAAGATGCGTGCCTGCTCTAGGTACGTGAGCTGCTGTTGCTCCAGCTGCAGCAAACTAATGCCCAGGTGAACGGTCAGCGACTGCGGCGGGAAGACGCCGTGGATGCATCGCTGCATATAGGGAACCAGGTCGTAGGCCAGACAGCAGCAGAGTCGAATAAACGCCTCCCTTTCGCTGCCGGCGAAGGCCTGCTGCTCCTGCCGATAGAAGGCGAGCACTCGCTGGGCGGCCAACTGAAGGGAATGCTGCAGACAGCGAGTGACATCGGTGGCCAGAGCTAAGGGAGCACACAGACGCAGCTCGTTCAAGGCGCTCAGATAGCCATTGCACAGGGCGGCCAGGGGATAGAAATCCAAGAGCGTTTCGGGCGGAGCAAAGGACTCCTCCGCGGGATCCAACTGCTTGCGGGCGTGCGAGTGCAGCGCCACCTTGTTGATCAGCGTGAATCTGTCCAGCTCCCGCTCGAACTGCTCGTTCACCTGCTCCACGCTGCTCTCAAATCGTCGGCGGATCACTGCCACGAAAATGGGCGCCATTAAAGCACGGAAATCGGCTCCCACGCGGCTGAAGGACAGACCAAAGTACATGCACTGGCCTAAAACTGTCTCCACGGAGCCCACTCCTAATTGTAGATCCTTTTCCAGCGTCTGCAGGAAGTCGTTAATCTGGGAGAGCAGAAGGGAATCACATTATTAGGTTGTAAAAAAGTGGTATGTACGAACTAAAGCCCTGCGTGAATCATTCAATTTTTGATTTATCATAGTATGCCATGCAATTTCTGATTTGTTTAACTCAATTCTGTTTTTCTAATTTATTTCGAATTGAATGAATAATAAATAATTTTTATGAATTGTTTGAATTTGACAGATAAAATTTTTAACAAATCAATGTTAACTGCTTAGAAAATAACATTCATACATATTTAATTACAAAATTATGGCTCTTTTTTCTTCAAAAGAAATTGTCGTTTGAATTATTTGGGAATTCATGCCATTCATTCATTCAATTCTGTTGAACTTAAAATTCTAATTAATTCATTCCTATAAAACAAAAAATTTAAAATAATTCATTGAATCCATTCATGCAGTGCTCTAATTTCTACTTTCGGTTTAATAGTATTAAACTCAAAATTCAAATTCATTCAATTCTATAAAACTCAAAATTCGAATTAATTCATTCATATAAAATAAAAAAATACATTGAATACGAACCTTATTGTGCAGCCAGGCCTGGAAGAGTCGATCTCCATTGCAGCTGACGCCCTGCAGAGGCCTTAAACTGGTACTTTGAGTCTTTAAACCGCCATCTTCTTCAGGAAAAATGGCTCTATACTGGGTGATGATATTAAACAGGTTTATGCGGGTGATTTCGATGGTTTTGGACAGGTGCTGCTGGGCTGTGGGGTTAACTAGTGATTATTCTGTGGGTAAATTAATCAAAGAAGATAACCCACCATCTCCAGAAGGAATGGCCTCCAGGCAGCAGCTCAACCAGGCATCCCTGGCCTGCAGAAACTTCAAACGCAACTCATTTTCCCCGAAGGCCTGCATCCTCCGCAGATAGCCCACGATCTGCAAGCACTTGGGCAGCTGCAGGTCGGTCCTCAGTTGAGCCACCAGCTGCACCAGCATGGTGTGCCACAAAGCCTCCACGGAGCGAACGATGCCCTGGAAAGGATTGGCTAAGATTTGGGCAGGAAATAAGAATATAGAGCACCCACCTTCACCACGGGAATGTGTCCCTGGTGCTGACCCAAGCGGGTGGCATAGGCGGCCAGCTCGAGGGCCTCCTCGTAGCGAGCCTCGCGGATGCAGCGCTCCATGAGCTGCGGCAGCTCCAAAACCTCTAACAATTGAGCATTCTTCTGCAGCGTGATGGAGTTTAAGCGCCTCTGCTCGTTGAGATCCGAGGAGTCCTGCAGGAAGCGCTCGCACTGGACACTCAGATCGGGCAGCTTGCTTACTAGCGTGTCCAACTGCTCCTCCGATCGCAGAAACTCACTGAAAATCGAACGCGAATTCTCCGCCGTGGTGATGAAAGTCCTGTAGTTCGAAATGGCCAGGTCCTGCGTCTGCTCCAGAATGCTGCGCGCCTCGTCCGCCAGCCGCGTCTGCTCCTTCTTCAGCTGCTCCACCTTGCAGGTGCCCAGTTTGGCCAAATAGTTGTCCAGCTCCGGATTGCCACGCAGGTTGTCTGGGGAAAAAACACGAAACATTCATAAGATTCTTGGCTTTTCCTGATATTTCGAGGCCAAACCCACCCGGAACTCCATCCGGAAATATCAGCTTCAGCACCCGCTCGTTCTCCAAGTCCATTTTGTCCGCAAAATCCATTGATTTCTGGTTAAAATTCCGAATTTAAACAATTTGTTTTCGCTTGGAAATTAATCTACGAAAAACAGCTGATTAGCGATGTCAATTATCGATAGCGGAGACAACCTCCTGGCGCAGCGAAGACACCCACCTGGCATAGCACCCTCATAATAACAACGCAAATATGAGCGAAAAGGGAGTGTTGGAAAATGCGTGGTAGAAGTTTAACAGAAGCTGGCTGATATGTCACTTTGGTAACGTCTTTTCAAAATTATTCCGAAAAATCAAATGATTATCAAGATTATAAAGCGTATAAAAGATGTACATAAATTATTGTCTTTTTTTCGAGATAAAACGTTATAAATTCATTAATATTACATCGCAAATTTGCCACAAGAGTGATATTTGAGTAAATGATTACAAATTTCATCAAAAATTCATCATCCTTTCTGTTATAAACCGAGAGAAAGAAATATTAAATTTATATTCTTTAACTTAGTTTTAGCTTCAAATGCTTTCTTTTACATAAGAGCTTCCAATTTGCTAAATATATGTTTCTGCAAAAAAATTTTTTAAAGTAATTAAATACTAAAGTTATACAAAATCTTAAAACGGTTAAAATGCATAAGGTATAAGTATTTTTTCTGGTTAAAGTTTCCAGTACTATCATTTTGAGACGCACTTTACTTTCCTGTGGCCCAGACCTCCGATTAAATCGTTAAACTGGAGTGAACCTGCTTCTCAGGCGCAACCACAGCCACAGTTATTATTTTTGCACTTTCACTTACTGTGACCCAAATATCGAATGGCAGTGAGGCGACTCAATTCTTTTTTTTTGTGGGTAGCAGATTCGCAAAATGAACCCAAAGTTTTAATTAAAACACGGTCAGTTAAATAAATGTTTATTTAACATTAACATAAGTATTATAAAGCAATCTTAAAGAACAAGTAAGAAAATATTTCTTTGCTTTAAATAATTTTTTTTATCACACATCCACCCAAATATTTCGCAATCGCAATTATTTGGCAATTGCCAACGAAAACCAGTTTTTTGGGTCGAGGAAAGGGGGGGGAAGGGAGTGAAAATCCATCAGCGACCACCCACTCCACTGATGGACCCGAACTCCCTCCAACAAGCCACCCAGCGCCCACCACCTCACCCCTTACCAACCAACTTACCGCCTGGTGGCGCAATTCTTACTCAATGGGAATCTTCGTGGCCAATAAAAAACGGACGATGGGGAACTGCAGTAACACAATACTGTTCGTGCCGCGTCTGGTGGGCGGAGATGGGGACAACGGTGGGCGGTGGGCGGCCCCGAGGGGCGGGCGAGGACATAATAAACACACAACGATAATTAAACTGCGGTTAGCCTGGCCAGCAGACCGCTTTCAACAGTTCACTGATGGCAGCGAGGGTCGTTTGAAGAAAAGGAGAACTGAAATTCTAAGTTACAATGAAAAGCTGTTAGAAAATATAATTAAAATGAAAGAATTATTACGTATTGAATTATTAATCTAATTCTTATATATTTTCCATATCTTTTATATTAAAGTAAAAAGTTTTTAATAAGTATAAATACATACCAATATATTTTTCGTAACTTAAAATTGTGAAAAAAGGGTTTAATTTCATGTTACTAAAATAACATCTCGACAACAAAAGAACGTTTACAAAATAACATTTACAAACTTAAATTTCGCTAAAAAATACATTGAAACTTACGTACATATGTAACTCGAATTTTAATGATTCGAAAGCTTTAATAGTCTTTAGACAGTTCAATAAAGGCTAAAATAAATTTCATAATTTAAAACAATAGAACCAATTTATTTTTAAAACTAATAATAATTAAGAGGTTGTTTTTAACAACCTAATAAAATGATTTTGTAGATATAATTATTTTTCAGCAATGAACAATACTCATGATATTTAAATGATATATTAAAACAAAAAAAAGAGCCTGCAGAATTGCACAGTCAACCCTCGCTAAGTGCAGCTCCCGCAATCAAGTCCCGAAGATGCGCGCCAAAACAAGCTCTGTTCTCGGCGCGGCGTCTAATCCTCGTCTTCGGCGACAACAACAACAACACGGCAGCAGCAACAGCAACAACAAGAGTACTTGCAACACCAGCGGCCGCAAATGAATCAAAACAAAGCGCGGGCAACAACAAATGTTTGGGTCCACCACTGACCTACTAAGAAGACTACGAGACGCACTCTCCGCTTTGGAACATTGGAGCACTACGAGAACTGGGGAGAATCGGGGGTCTCTCACTCGCGATCTCCCAAGCTCCCGAAGACTGTCTTCGGGTTCTTCGTTGCGTGTGGCGCTTTTTCTTGTCGCTGTACTTGTACTCCTCTGCTTTCTGGCCTTTTTGTCTTTTCTTTTTTGCGCTGGGTCGTTTTTCAGCGTTTGTCGACGAATAATAAATAAGAAAAAGTTTTCCTGCAAAAGCAAACCAAAAAGCAAAAACAAAAACAAAAGCAAGCCGAACCGAACCGAAAAAAATAAAAAGCGTTTTCGCTGGCGCAGAGCTGAGATCCATCGACCGATCGCGCCGCTTCTTTCTCTTCGTCACTCTTCCTCTCTGCACTCGAAATAAAAGTGTGACAGAAATACTTATCTTTCGAAAAATGATAGAAATGTATAAACATTTTAAATCTTTTATGACAAATTGTAATTTACATTTCATAAAAGCATTGCTTTTGATATGATACTGATATGATACTGATATGATACTGATATGATACTGACATGATCTGATTTATACTGATATGATACTGATATATCACGGAGTGATTCAAAAAAGTAATTTTTCCAAGCTTTTATTACAAGAATCTGAGAAAATATATTTTTATACATTTTTGTATACCAAAATAGAATATTTCTTTGGATTAAATTATTAAATATTTATACCTCCATGACTGAAACTAACATCTGGACCCCAACCATATTTAAATTTTTTATATTCTTTGAATAACGTATTAAAGTCTATGCTGAGAAAATCAATATTTTTAGTTGATAGGTTAATATTGTGTTTTAGCTAAAACTAGCTGATCTACTTACCAATTTTTCCCAGTGTATTGGAGCTGGGTGCGCGGCGGAGGAAGCGAAAGAGAGAGGCCGACGTTTTGCCGTGGGACTTGGGGCTCGATCAGCCGCTGGTGGCGTCGCAGTTGCAAACGTGAGTTCGAGGCGTGTGAACGTGATTTTAGGCTTTTCGCTGACTCTCCTCGATTTCCTCAATTTCCCAGATTTCGGCGCAGTGGGAAAAGCCACCTCCCGGCCCAGAGAAAAACAGAAGCGGGACCCCAGAGGTCGCGGAAACTGCATACGATTTGCAGTTGTGTGGAAATATGGACTTTACCACTAATTTTCATAGCCCTGCGTGTGTGTGTGAGCGTGCGAGTGTGAAATCTGCGTGAAACATTGCCAAATCCTTCGACAGATTTCTATTTGCACCTATTTTGCATTCGGCAATCGGCATATTGCCATTTGCCATTTGCCAACGACGCGAGTGTCAATCGAGTGAAAGTAAACAATGGTCGGCACCCAAATGGATAGGCGATCGCGGATCACTAGACTAATAACGGTAAGTGGGGTTGGACCATGGCGATTGGCTTGCATAACAAAGTGTCAAAAAGTTGACAATTGCAACAGCAAAGCAAATGTAACGGCGATCGGTGTGGATAATATAAAGCAAATACAAACTGATACTATATAAAAAGCGAAATAAGTTGGTGACAGGCAATAAGTGTTTAAATATCCCAAAAAGTTTTTTTCCGAGAAGCAACTTTCTTTCTTTCGTCCAATATATTGTTTTAAAATAGATTCAAGGTTCCTTCATTAAATTTTTTAATCAATATATGTTTTCTAATCGTCATTAAAAAGTATATCGGATTTTTAGTAATTTTTGAAGACTTTCTTGATTCTTTCTTTCGCCTAATATATTGTTTTAAAATCCACATAATATTTCCTCAAATTAAATTTGTTAATCAAATATGTGTGTTACAAATAATTATCCCCAAGAAGTAACTCGGGTTTTTATTAATTTTAAAAGACTTTATTGTTTATTTTTATGAGTTTCTATAAATAAATGAAATTGAGCACTTGCACAAAAATTATTCGCATAGTTGTTATAATTTTCAAATGATCAATTTATTTTAAAAGATCATTTTAAAATTCCAGTGGAGTCATATATTGCTTTAATAACACTATTTGAAGTTATTTCAATAAAAAAGCTTCCAATAAATATTAGTATTTCACTTTAAGCCCCCTTTAAATCGAACCAAAATCAATCAATCAAAAGAAATTTGTCCCCAAGCCATTGATGAAAACGAAATCGCAATTAAAAGATGGTCACACGTCCCCGTCAGTTTTTCAAAATGTGTTGAAATCGATAAACGAAGGGCTAAGCGTTTTATGCATATTAACAACTTCTGCTTTGTTTTCTTTTAACGCATGACTACGCAATCATAAAAGCATAACCAACAACGAAAATGCTCAAAGTTTCCGCTGTGTTTGCTGTTGTGGTTGGCATTGCCGGTCCCAAACAGAGGAGGGAAAAAAAATAAAAGAGAGAGAGAAACGGAATAAAATAAAAAGTTTCACTTTCTTCGAGAGCATCGCGGCTGTCTTGGGATTGACTCGTTGGATTTGGTCCCAGCCCAAAAGCCAAAACTAAAATTTAAACCAAACCGAAAGCGAATCGGTTGCCAAAAATGTCGACTTGCCAAATTTGGGAAGCGAACTTCGCGGCCTTTTCCGGCGCTGTCCAAATCAGAGAAATTTCTTTCGGTTTAATTAACCATTTTGCCATGAATATGCATTGCTCAAGTCTGGGAAGGCAAATGAAGAGCTTGCACCAAGCCAAGTTTGTTGCCTGAGTCTTTTGTTTTGGGCTGGACGCTGGACTCGGCAGCCTCGGCAAGTTTGTCGCCTGAGTCTTTTGTTTTGGTGGGGAAATTTCCACCACTCGCCAGCTGTTCGCCGCTGGCAATTAGCAGAAACAGCAGCGGCAAAGCCAAATTTGGTTAAGTGTAACATCAACTTCATTTCCAGAGCCAATTGAATTTATAAATAATTCATTCTAGCCACTCGCCAAGAGAGTTGCAGATGGACGGACAGTCAGACGGACGGGCGGGCAACATTGTATTTGTATTTGGGAAATGAAGACATAGACTGGAACGTCTCCTCCTCGGGCCACCACCCCCTCACCCCCTCCCGCCCCCCTGCGCAGACTGGGTTTTCGTAGAAAGTCGCTGACACATTAAAGTGTTGCAATACGTTTCTCTGACGACAGCTCGGCATCGTCTGCGATTGACAAATGTCTTCCTCGATGCGAGTTGACTTAATGCCCATTTGCACTGCACCGCAGCATCGGCACTGCAACGCCGCATCCAGTGATGTCCAAAGTATGAAGCATTGGAAGACACAAGAAGCAGTCAAAATTTTTATTATAAAAGTTGACAAATAACTCTTATGCTTCAATTTTTATTATACAAGTTGACAAATAACTCTTATTTGTTGATTTTTATAATAAAAATTGAAGCATAAGAGTTATTTGACAACTTTTATAATAAAAATTGAAAAATAAGACTTGTTTGTCAATTTTTTTAAAAAAGTAACTCTTATTTGCGATCCCTGATTTATTCAAACAATCATAGGGTTAAAATAACAAAATTTTAAATTTATTTATATTTTTTAAAGTTTTTAGTTTGCAATAAACAAAAGGAAGAAAAACACAAAAAACACGTCGCGGTCAAATTGATATGCGCATGGTATTGCATACCTATATCGTTTTTACCACAATCTCTCTCTCGGAGATTCTCTGACTTCAAAAAAGAGAGGAAGAAGCTGTGTGGCGAAATACAAACTCTCTCAAAGATTACATATCTAGCATATCGAACTGAGATTCCGCATTTCAAGTTAAAATTGATACTACATATCAAAGTTTCATATCATTTTTGGATATTTATTTGGATATTTATTAGTTTATCACTTTTCAAAGATGACAGTCTACAACCCGAAAGCAATATCTTTATAAATCAACATCATTACGGCATTGGAATTTATTGTGTTAATTTTCAAAATACTTTTAAATTTACCCGTATCAAAACAAATTATTGGGTAAATTTAAATTCTAAATTTTTAAAAAATTCTGAAAAGGTGGCTGGCCTAAATTTAGCCATTTTGCCACCACTGACTGCAGCAATTGCAAGCTCTCACGGCTGATTGGACATATTGATTTGTTTCGCCGACTTGGGACCGCTGACAGCAGCATTTGCTCCAATTTCCCCGTGGCTCCTTCGCTTCCAAGAAATATGACAATGTTAATGAATGAGATTCGGCTTAATTGTCTCGATGCACATGACAATCGACACTAATGCCAGGCCGCCTTATTTATTTCTTTGCCGAACAAAGCGAAAGTAATTCTGCTTTCCATTTCAGGCGTCTTCTCTTGCGGTCTGACCTGATTTGATTTTCAACACAAATTAGTTCGCAGAGAGTCATTTGTTTCGCACCCAAGCTGCGGTCTCATCCTCGGGTCCCAGAGACCCCAGATCACTTTCTTCTCGTAATTGCCACGGTCTTGGTGCCGTGGAGCTCTTCATTGAAGTACTTTTCCAAATCGGAGAAAAGGGCATTAATGCTAGAAGAAGGAATTTCACCTTGTCATTGATATTTAAATTTGCTTCAGGTACATGATGTATGAGAATTGAGTTTGCATAAAACTCTCTGAACTGAAACTGAGAAAGCTTTCAACTTTATTTGTGGATACATTGGATTCTAATTTCATACTGTGACTTCACCTAAAAACTATTTTGACCTCAAAAAGTACATAAACAATATACTTTAATTTTCAGTGTCTGATATATTTAAATTAATTTTAGTTGCTAAAAAAGTTTGGAATTTAATTTGTTCGTGATCAAAATTATACATATTGACCGACATCTGAAACTATTAAATTTTTTTGCTAGTAAATTTTTAACATCATATTTAAGCAACCTAAAAAATTCCAGGAAAACATTACAAAATATCTCAAACATTGACCTTGCTTACTTATGCAAATGGCTCTGAAATTTTCCCGAAAAACAGAGTCGCGAGATGGGCAAAGATCAATGATGGATATTACCTAACCGCGTGTCGAGCTCACATTTTGGACACACATCCGCCAGCGAACGGCCCACAAGAAAGCCGATCACTTTCTTTTCTTTTCGTGAATCACCCGCGATTGATATGTGTGCGCCATATGTGATTGTGGCTGCGATAACCGAATACCCAATACCAAACGCCGAGTGCATATCAGTTTTTGGCCAACCGGTTCGGTTACCAGGGCCCCGCGAGGAAAGAGCGACAGACCCTATTAGGACCGACCTGAAGTACCTGAAGTCCCGGCTTTCTGGCCGCAATTGTGCAACCGAAAAGGAAAGTTGAAAGGGCCCCCGTGGCGAGAGGGAAGTGGGGCGGGAAATGCCATCGCTTTTCCAGCGCGCCGCAATTTACTTTTACTTGGGTAACCCATTTCGCTTTTGATTGCTCTTTGCATTTCACTTTGCCGGCTGCGAGTGGCCGGTGGACGGTGGCCAGTTGCAAGTTGTCTCGGTCGGCGGCCAGTCTGGCGCGATGCCTATCCATGCTGAGAGAAAAAAACAAGATGTATTCGCCATTATAAGTATTAATATAAAAATCCAAATATTTCAAATTTTTTCTAAAATTTTTTGTTAAAAATATTTCAACATTTTTTACTTCCAATAATAAAATATCCTAAAATATTTAGAATTTTTTCTATAATTTGTTTTTAGAAATATTTGCTATTTACATCCTATAATAAAATATCTTATAAATATCTTAAAAGAATCGATACCAATTTTTGTTTATAATATTTAATGTTCAGAACTTGTTTGTCACCTAGAAAATTATCATATCCATACAGTGGGGGATCCAGGATTCGGTTATGGGCGGATTATTGTTGCATATTTTTTGAATACACACATTTCCTCACCCGAGTGGGGAGGGTTATATCCCCCATATTCCTTTATTTAAATTAACCGATCAGTTATTACGAAGATACTTTCACAAGCCAAAGTAATAATCTGTAAAAAATTTTTTTACAATCCACTCTATACATATTTACAAAATAATATATATGCCATTTTGAGTAGGTTAAAAACATTCCCAGTGTAATGCTGGTTGCAATTGCGGCCATTCTCTCTCTTGAGCTGCAGTCTGGAGGTGGCATGCAAATGCACATCGATCATCTTTATGACTTGTGATTGTCCAGTTGGCTTTGTGTGAAAGTAAAATTTGATTTTCTACCGGCTGCAGTCGAGTATATGGCTCTGGCAATTCGTTTTGGCCGAGAGAGAGCCCGGCCTTTTCACTCCTCCCATCCCATCACATCCCATTCCACTCCATCTTATCCCAACCCAGGTGCATTGAGCCCACTTGACTTCACAAAAAATGAAGCTTTAGCGTCACGCCATTTGGTTATCAGCGAGCGACTGTCGTTTCAATTAAGATTTCCTCTGCTCAGCTGGAGCCGCTGAGTTTTTCCATTAGCCCAATCAATCCAGCTGGCAAGAAAAGCCTTTCCAAAAGCAGGAAATGTCGGAAAATAAAATTCACACAAAAATATTGAGTAATGAATCCATTGACCACTAAAATATAATTGAAATGAAATCTGGAATCATTATTTTCATTTTCGTAAAATCTTTTTATGTTTATTAATGTAAGAGTATATTTCAAAAAATTCCTAACAAATTGACAAATTATTTATGTTAATAATAGGGTTTCGGAGTTTGGATTTCACAATCTGAAAGAACTGAAACGAGTTAAATTTGTGGGTTTTCTTGCTTATCCAGCAGTAAGATATTATAGCGATTTAAAGATTTCATGTAAAAATAGGTTTATTTAGGTACGGACCTAAGGATTAAAAAGGATGAGTACCTTTTTTGAAAAAGGGCAGCTTTTGTGGATAGGCTTCGAAAAGTAGGAAAAGTACTGTAGTGTTCTTTTTTGGTTTTTTTTATATTTACCGATTTACTCCAATTTTACAACATGTTTTAATGTCTTTACCAAAAATAATGTAATACTAATTCTTTAAATCCAAAAGCGATACAATAGGCAGGAATGTTATATGGGGTTATAATTGTTTTGATGAGTACTTTCAGATTTAAAAAAAATTCTTTCGTTTTCCTTTAGAATCTTAGATCTTGGTCAAGTATTTCCAGAGGTTAAATTTAAAATTAATACTTATTGTCAGCATAATTTAACCTACTTATAATAATATCCTTTAAAGCATTAGTAGATCCTATGAAATTTATATTTATATTATATACAAAAAGGTTAACCTTATTCCGATTTCTTGCCTTACAGACCGATGTGTTGTGTTGTCTGCTAATGACCTTGTCGGTGGCTCTGCCTCTGGCCTCCGCGGGATTCGGCTTCGACTCGGCCAACTCGTGCAGTCCCAACGGGAAGATGTCGCGTCGTGGTCGAGCCCAGATGCTGGCGGCGATTCCCTGTGACCTGGGCCAGCAGGCCTTCTGCCACCTGCCCGGATCCGCATATCCGTGGCACGCGGTCCGGCGTTTCGTCCACGAGAACCAGGGCCTGATGAAGCGCATGTACGGCGATGTGCGGCACATTTCCATACTGCGCGACGAGATCCAGAACAACGAGGTGGATGCGGACGACATCGAGGAGGCGGCGGAGCGGTACAGCAAGGATGGTGGCCGCCGGAGTGCCAAGTATCTCATGAACGGCAGGGACCGCGATCGCGATGATTTCGGGAACTTCAAGGGTAATGACGTCCTAATGGAACCCCATTTCCGGCCGGTTTCTACGAGCACCACGAGTACAAGTACGACAACGACCACAGCTGCTCCGGAAGTAATTAGTAGCACTACAAATGGAACTCCCAGTGAGGCATCTAGCTCGACTCCTGGAAACTCAACGAGTACGAGTACTACTCCCGCTCCAATCTCTTCCGAACCAACTGAAATACAAGCGGACATTGTGGAGATCCAACCAAGTCCAGAGTCGAACAGCGTCTACGAAGTGGTAGCTCCTTCACCCGCCACCTCCACTGGAAAACCTTCACCAGCCGATGGCGAAAACATACAGATCATCGACTCTCCCCAGCTGGGATTGCGTAATCTCAGTGGAGAGGCTAGTAAACCTTCCCAGGAACCACCCACTGCCACCCAAACAACAGCGAAGCCCACAAGCTCAACTGCCTCGCCCAGCAGGAGAAGGAAGCCGGCAGAGACCACCACCATCAGCACCACCACCACAGCAGCCCCTCCAAAGACCTCGAGCACCATGTCGCCTCCAAGCACAACAACCACAGCCACCCTGCTGACCCGTCGCAATGCCACCAAGTACTCACCCGCATCCCCATCCGTGACCACGCCCGTCAGCTTCGCCTCGCTCTTCTCCGGCACCTCCAGCGGGCTCTTCAGTCCGGAGAAGCTGCGCAGGCCCTTGACCACCAGCAGCACAAGTGCTCCAGTGGCAGCTCCATTGGGAGGAGGAGCCACTGGAAGCGCCACCAAGTCGGGACTGCTGAGGGAGGGTCAACTCTTCCAGGATGCCATGAAACAGGAGCCCGTGGCAGTGGCCAGCAACTTGCGAGGAGTGTAAGTTACTTTCTCCTTGTTATACTTTTGCAGAGGGTATTATGATTTCAGTCAAAAGTTTTCAACGCAGTGAGGGAGATTTTTCCGACCCATAAAGTATATATATTCTTGATCAGCATCACTAGACGAGTCGATCTAGCCATGTCCGTCTGTCCGTTCGTCCGTCCGTCCGTTTCTACACAAACTAGTCTCTCAGTTTGTAAGCTATCGGGATGAAACTTTCTCAAACGTTTTCTTTCTAGTCCAGGTAGTATATAAGTCGGAACCAGCCGGATTGGACCACTATATCCTATAGCTCCCATAGGAATAATCGGAAAAAATCGTAAAAAAATCTAGCTTCGGTGTTTTTGTTTAAATATTACCTTCAACTCTTGGGAATATTATTTTTTAAATATTTATGAATTTCGAATTCAATTTAGAAAAAATCGAAACACTGTATCATATAGCTGCCATAGGAACGGTCGGAATTTTAAATGCAAATTAATAGGAAAAAATTATTGCTTCGTTGGTTTTTATTGTATTCTCTTCTACTCTGTGATTTGACTCATTTTAAATATTTCCGAATTTCGATTTTAATTTTATCAAAATTGAACGACTATATCATATAGCTGCCATAGGAACTATCGGAAAATTAATGAGAAATAATGGGAAATTGAACCTTTTTGCGATTTGTAAATTAATATGAATAATCTGCAAGGGTGTATAGCTTCCTTTCTTTTCTTTAAATTGTCTTTAAAATAATTTTCGTTATCCCTTAGAAATGCCTGTCCCGTGAAGGATGAAGTGGTGGCCCCCTTCTGGGCGAACAACACCCGTGGCGAGGTTTTAGCCCTCCTCAATCTGTATCCCTTCGAGCAGTACGTCCACTGGGAGAAGTGCACCCACGAGTTCAAGCAGATGTTCTGCCGGGATGGCTGTAGGTGCGAGCAGCAGTACCGGCTGCACAGATTGCTGGCCTACGATCCGCACAACGAGTGCCGGGGCATCTTCTCCGACTGGTTCCGCTTTCCGTCCAGCTGCATCTGCAAGTGCTACAACATCCCCATGGAGTTCCGTGCCACCTCGCGCAGTCCGAGATCCGACAGCAGGTTCGATGCCCCGCAAACCGATCCCATCGAGGCTGCCGAGGCGGAGGTCCAAAGGGCCATCTACGAACATGCCACGGATGAGTGGTACCGCCCACGCGACGAGTTTGACTTCTTGGAGGGGTAATCCATTCGCATCACCCTCTTGAGATCCATTGTACAGTAGTCTTAGATTTTATAGAAATAAGTTAAGTTAATCTTTCTTCAATCAGACTTCCCTTCCTTATAGTCTATAACTAAATAGTACATCTATTTCCGATCAATGAATTGTTTTCCTTAAAATTATCTACTTTTACTTCGAATCTATATACCTCTAATCTATAAGATAATCTTATTAAGATTACTTTTAAAGGCGGCATTGTGTAAATGTAAATATAGACCAACATAATGCCCGATTTAGGAAAAACTTACAGAGCGAATGTACCTTGAAATACTGGCGAACACATCGCAGCCCTTAAGCTGCGTCCGATGGTATTTACTAGAGTTATCTATTTATTTATTCAGACCTTAGCTTTAAGCATTACCATAAAAGTGGCCATAATGTTATTCCCCAAATCAAAGTGCGGGCGTTTTTGGAAAAATATTTATTGCAAAAATGTATGCGATCATATGTAGTCTGTATATTTAGAATGCTTACGTATGTATAAAATAGATTTTATTGTATTTAATACGTTGATATATTACTGTTTACTCTTTAATGCATACGAAGGGTACGTTGATAAATTAGATTTATAAATTGTATTTATGTGTAGACAAAGGGGTTCCTTTCTCGGCATTTTGAAGGCATTTAAGGCACTTCATTTCAGTTTAACCGTTTACCACTTAAGGCTAGTGATAGCATTTTTTGTCAATCACTCAATTAAATAAAAATTCTAGTGTTTCTTAACTAGCAAAGTGTTTTTATTTTCAGGTTCGGCCAAAGGCACTTGCCAGAATAAGTAGAGTTGTAAGTAAAGCTCTATTTAGAAGCAGTTCTCAAAGAAAATTGGATTAGTTGAAACTATTTAATATACACAGTTGAACAGTTGAAGGGTTTAAACTTTAAAGCCAAACTCTATTGCCACCGAGTCTATCGAATCTTTAGGGTGAATAAAATACAGATCTATAATGTGTTTACTTACAATTACATAATAATAAATTGCATACAAGCAGACTTTCGGCTTAGAAGGAAGTCTAGTTCCAGACGGTATATATAAATAAGATATATAAATTGTGGAAGCATTCCTTATTTGTGATCGAATTCGATGCAGATTGTCTGCATCTGATGGACCGGACAGAAAGACTACAACTACAGACATAAATTAGCTGAACAGAGACGAGAAACAGGTAGAAATACCGCGCCCTATATGCAAACTTCTTGACGGCTGCAAGTCGACGACAATTGAATACTCTGCGTTGAACAAAACGAATACGAACTCGATACTATTGATGCGCGTTGAAAAAATACTAGGCGTGAGTGTCGCGTTGTGTGTGCTAATAACTAAAACTAGGAAGATCCCGAGGCCATCAGGCACTCGATACGGGCACCCAGAGCAGCTTGTCCTGCTCCTTGTCGACGGCGTCCTTGATTTGGGTGCACATGTGCTTGATGCTGACGCCGGGGATGACGGCTGCAAGAGATATAATAAATAAATTAATAAATAATCAATAAAGTTAGTTCAACAACTCACCTGATATGTACTGCTTGTAGTCTGTCTCCAGTTTCATGGCCCGTTCGTACATCTCCTTGGCCGCCTTGGCCGAGATTTTGTCGGTGCCAAAGTCGCGAATGTCGCGTATTTGCTTAGCGGACTTAAAGCGTAGCAGTAGGACAATGGGGTAGATTTGCAGGCGCTGCAATCGCTCCACGGCCGAGATCGAAACGTCCAGGATGCAGTGACGTCGATCCTGCGGGGAAACTCAGTGTTTACAAAATATCTTTGGCATGGTACAATTTATTACTCACATTCTTGCAGGCATTGCTGATGGCCTCCACTGTGGTGCTCTCGAACTTGTTGCCCCTCCGCCGGTAGTCCACAAAGATGTTCTCCTTCAGTCCCTCCTCCATGGCCTCCTGCGAGCAGTCCATGGCCGTCACCTCGCACAGCTTGAATAGGTTGGAAAAGTCGATGGTCAGGCGGTCCATGAGGCACTCGGACAGCGGTCCAATTATCAGCACGGGCCGGCGAATGGGCGCTACGAAATGGTAATAGTATTAAGTTATCTACCTATAGTTTAATGAGTAATTAACTTACAGTCTAGCAGCTCCACACGCTGGTAGCTGAGGGCTCCGCCATCATCGTTGAGCAGTCCTAAGTCTGGAAAGAAGCTAAGCTGCGTATTGCTGAAGCTGGCAATCTCCGTGGAGTCGCGGGACGAGCTGCGCTGGTTCTTCTTGCGACGAAAAAAAGATCTCCTGGCCGAAGTGCTACCGCGTCTGGCGGTTCCCGTATCACAGTCCACCACCTCCCCCGAGCGTAGCTCCTCTTCCACCCTGGGAAATTAATAAAAAGGTTATTCATATTTTTGATAGAAGGCTTAGTTTTAGACAAGGTTCGGATAATAACACACTGTAAAAAACTTGTGTTATTAACATGTTAAATGTCAAAGTGTTAAGTTAAAAGAAAGTTATTGACTTGTGTGTAAAAAATGTTATCCTACATATCCTGTGTTTTTTACACGGCGTGTTTTTAACACAATGAGTTTTTGACACAAAAGTGTCAGAACTGAACTGAAGTGTTGAACTGAAAAATTCACGTTTTTCTAGAATATAAGAATTCATATTGACTTTTCATTTTCCCATCGATTCGTTAATGTCAGTGAAATGTAATTTTCATTTGTGTTAAAAACAAAGTGTGTAAAAAACACGTCGTAAAACAGATTGTGTAAAAAACATATTGTAACACTTTTATCAACAATTTGGCTGTGAAATTTCTGTAAAATACAATTTTTTACGTTTTTAACATGTGTGTCAATGTGTGTCTATTTTGCCTTTAAATAACAGAATCTTGTTTACTTACTTCATTTGACTGGGTATTATGCCGCACTCCTTCCGATGGCCCATGCCATCCAGCTTCCAGGCCCGCCACAAGCCAAAGGTGCCGTTGAAGACTGTGTTGTCCACGTAGAGCACCTCGTCCTTCACAAACCGCAAGTCATCCTCGTTCAACTCACCGGTCCGGTCAAACCCCACGCGAATGTAGAAGGAGTCGCCGGGCTCATCTTTAATTTGCTTAAGAGCTATATGAAATAAAAAGTATATATATAAATCTCGAAGCTAAAGTAAATCTTTCGCTACTCACTGTGCAGTTTATTCTGCACCAGCATGGTGACCGTATCCGTGAGCTTGGAAATCTCATTGGCCGCCTGCTCGGCGGTAACGCCACTCAGGTCCACCCCATTGTACTCGAGAATCTGGTCACCCTTGCGTATTCCTGCATGATCCGAGGGCGAACCGGTCGCCACGTCGTGCACATAGATGCCCACTTTGTTGCCGCCAAACAGCTTGATGCCCAGGTTCTTCGACTTGTCCATGTGCAGCGTCACGTACCTCAGAGCTGTGATGGAATATTTATATCATGTTATATGCAAGAATCAAAGCAAAAAGGGTTTTGTTAGTAGGGATAAAGCTTGGGAGTATTCTTTTCGCGGAGTCTTGTATACATTTCAATTATATCTCTAGGAATTTAAGTATAATTTTAAAGAGTATATTATTCTATAAAATTTTAACAGTTATACTAACAGTTACAGTTTTTTTGACTCGCACATTTTTGAAGTCAAAAACACATCGTGTAAAAAACACGGCGTGTTAATAACACGCTGGGTTAAAAACACAAGTCAGCTGTGTGTGCAAACAATTATTATTCACATTTTACCCTTTTGTATTTGACACACATGTCAACCACTTTGCTCACACTGTAAAATATAACTTTTCATGTTTTTAACATGTGTGTCAAATTCCGAACCCTGATAATTTATGAGTCTACCAAATAAAAAACCTCTTTAGCTGTCTTTTTCGACTACGATCCTGAGAATATGTACCTTATACAGCCGGAAACGCTTCCTGCTGCACGGACAGAACTATGGAAGCATTCTACTGCCCAGGGAGTGTTTTGTTGGTTAGTAGTGGGTGGAGTGTGGTGGCTACGTACTCTCTGCCGGAACGGATGCGGGCGGCGGCGGCAGGGCGGGCTTGGGCTCCTCATCGTAGACCGTCGACGTGGCCGAGGCAGTCGTCGTGGTCGTCGTGGCCGCCGACGAGGGCATGTCCTGGCTGCTGCTGATGTCCGACTGGTTCTCCAGGCTATCGGTGAAGCTCTGGTCCTTGATGGACTGATGCGAGAGCGGAGCCCGCGAGACGGAGCGCGTAGACGGGGCCTGCGGCTGCATCGGCAGCGGAAAGAGCGAGTTGCGGGCAGGAGGACGCGGAGAATTGCGCGGCGTCGGGGAGCCCGAGTGGTTGACGGGAGATTCTGGTTCCAGATTGTGCGCTCCCTCGTACTCCATTGAAGGGAACTCTGTTAGAAGGAGAGGGGTTTAGATTTGCTATTTAGGAGGGCTCTTAAACTTACTCTCCGGATTGTACTGCACAAGCATGGTGAAGGAATCGCCGCACTGGCGCAGCACATTGGCCGCTATCTCCTGCGTGGCGGCCCTCATGTTAATGCCACATACTTCCAAGAGTTGATCGCCCACCTGGAGACCGGCACGCATCGCTGTGCTCTTGTCGGCGACGGTGGACACAAAGATCCCGCCGCCGTTGTTATTGCACTGAATGGTGATACCGAGCGACTTGTCGCGCTTGTCGATGGTGACTCTTCTAAGGTCTCCGGGGCAGAGAAAATCCGCGGGCACATTGGAGTTGCGCTTGCCGCTGCCGCCGCCTCCATGGCTGAGGATCTCTACGTGAACCTGCGGCATGGGCGAACCGCGTCCACTGCCGCCTCCTCCTCCTCCTCCAACTGCCACTCCATTACCATTTCCTCCAGTTATATTTGCATTATAGCTATTGTGAATACTAGAGCTCATCAGCGAGATGGGTGCGCGATCCGAGGATGAGGCGGACATGGATCCTCCCGCCTGGTTCGTCACATAGTGATGGTCAATGCTGCCGGAGCTGTTCTTCACCATGCTGCCGCTCTTGCTGGCCACACTGGGATTGGAGGGAATTCTCAGTCGCTGGTTGTCCTTCTTGCGGGGAAATGTTCCGCCCTCGTAGATGGCACCGCCCACGCCGGAAACCACGCCGCCACCCACTCCTAGGTAAGGATAGGGTCCGTGTCCGTAGTCCAAATACGGGGGATGTGGCTGCAGGGGGTGTGCAGGATGGTAATCCAAATCCGTGGGTATTCCCACGCTGTCGTGCGCCGCCACCGCCGTCGGGAGCTGCTGCATCTGCTGCTGCTGCTGAGGCGGCGGCGAGGGGAGCGTCAATGGACTGGATCTGCGGTTGCTCCTCCCGAAAGTGGGGAAAAGCTGCGTGTGCCTGTTGCCCGGGATGTGGGTGGACTGCAGGAAGCCTCCATATCCACCGTGTATTCCCGAGCCAATGCTCTCACTGTCGCTTGGGTACTTGGGCACATGCCTCACCGGCATGGGCACCTGCCGCTTGGCATACACGCCGTACTCGCTGACGGCGGGGCTCTTTGCGGACAGGATGGACTCGATGGAGTTCTGCGACTTCAGGGAGACGACATCCGGCGGCTGGCCAACGATGGGCAGCGGGTGACTGCCTCTGGGCGGATTTAGCGGCATGAACACGGCATTGGGATTGGAAGTGGAGGTGTTTTTCGGCAGTGGCAGGGGAGGGTGGAATACGTCAAAAACCTGCTGCTTGCGCACTGGAAATTCACCGGCTGCCGGGCCAGTGATTCCTCCCCCCATGGATCCCGAACCCATTTGAAAGCCCGCCGAGTTATTCATCACCTGCTGCTGGGCCTGCTGGCCACTCGTCTTGGGCTGGTAAAAATCCCCGCTGGGTGTGATGTTCAGCGACAGGCGATGATTGCTGTGCGGTCGGGAACCATAGCGCTCCTGCGAGGGCATTTTCACCCGGGCATTGGCGCCCATTAGGGGAGCCCTTTGCATGGGCTTCTGGTTGATCTCCTCGGGAGCATAGAGCGAGTGCCGCGGATGGATGGGATAGCCGGGCATGGGCATGCTGGGTGGAAAGAGGGCAGAGACTCCCGAAGTCACCGGATTGGAGTTGCGATTGGGATGCGCCTTGATGGCGCTCCCATTGGCTCCTCTTATATGAGCCAGTGGCTTGGACATTTGCGGTGGCAAAGGAGGCGGCAGTTGCTCCGGCGGCTGCTTCTCTGGCACTCCCACCTCGCCACCCACCAAATCATCATCCTTGTCCACATTAATAGGACCCGCTGTAAAAAGCGACATCAAAGCTTGCTTCTTCTGATTTCCCCTCATGGTTCCTGTGGGGTTATCGTGCGATATGTTGGTGCGCGGCCAGGTGCCCATGCTTTTAGACGCCTCCTTCTCCTTCTTGGTGCGCTTCTTGCGGTTAAACAGGTTCTCCTTGCTCTTCTCCGAGCTGTTCTCGCTGAGCACCGAGTCCAGAGCGGCGATGGCGTCGTCGTGCTCCTGCTCAAAGTTATCCTCCGGCGTTCCCGGCTTGCTGAACTTGAGCTTGCGGAAGAAGAACTCGGCGAATTTGGACGGAGGCTTGGTGGCGCTACTGGGTCCACTTCCTCCTCCACCGCCACTTGAAACATGCTGCATGGAATCTATAGAGTCCGTTTGCGCCGACGAGGTGGTCATGCCCGGCGGCAACTGATCCTGCACGTACTTTAGAGCAAAAAGATTCAGACCATCGCTGCGCGGATCGTTGAGCACCTGCATCACCTCCTCGATGGACTGCACCGAGTCCATGGACTTGTTATTGATGCTCAGCACGCGGTCACCAACGTCCAGCTCGGGTTCATAGAAGGCCAGCGAGTTCTGCTCGATCTTGGCTATGAAAACGCCCATGTCCAGCTGCAAACCATGCGGGCAATCGCGATCTCGGGTCTTCAGTTGAACGGAGTACGCATGCCGCTTGCTGTGGCGAGTGCGCGAGACCAGCAGTAGGGAACGCGGGGCACAGGCGCGAATCTCGTCGAGAACCATGCGCTTGGACAGCGACTGGCAGTCCAGATTGTTAACCTTGCAGATCACATCGTTGATCTTGAGCTTCCCGCAGGCGGGAGAGCTGCTAGTCACACCGCAGACCAACTTCCTTTTATTGCTATCGTCCAGGATGATGCCCAGATCGGAGGTGTGCTCGTAGCCGCAGAGCTCCACCTCCAGGAGATCCTCGCCCTCGTAGCTGCTCAAGCGGAAGCTGCGTCGCGAACCTGACGCAGCATTGCTGTCCAGATTGTGACGCTCCTGCTGCTCCATTTGCTCCTTCAGCAGATCGATCTTCTTCTGGGCCTCGTCCTTCTGCTTCTTGATCTTCTCGCTATCGCGAATGGCCATCAGCGAGTCGGAAATGGCCTTGTCCCGCTCGTGGCGCATCTTGTCGCACAGCGTCTTCACCGAATCGCGCTCCTGCACGATCTTTTCGCGCTGCGATATGGCCCAATCCCGCACGCGTTTCGCCTCCTCGGCATCCTGGCTGGAGCGCTCCACCTCGGAGAGAGCCTTCTCGAGGCTCTTGCGCAGCTTCTCCAGTTCCTTGCTGTTCTCCAGCTCCTTGCCGCTGGGGAATTCCTTGGACCACGAGCTCTCACGAGATTTGAGAAGATCGCGCTTCTTGAGCTCCGCATTGGCCAGCTGCAGAGCCTTGATCTCGCCCCGCGCCAACTGTTCGTCCTTCTTGAGCCGTTCGATCTCCTTGTTGGCCAGCACCAGATCATCGGACATTTTCTGGTGCTCCTGCAGCACGTTGTCCTTTTCGGAGAGCAGCTGATTGAGCTCCTCGGTGAGCGAAACGACATTCTTGGTCTCCTTGGAGAGCAGCACCTTCAGCGTCTGATTCTCATCGCCCCGCTCGCGGTAATAGTTGCGATCCTTCTCCAGCTCGATGTAGGATTTCTTGTACTTTTCCCGCTCCACAGCGGCCATGTTGCGCTCCTTCTTCAGCTCCGCCAGCTTCTCGCTGCAGCTGCCATCGCAGCCCTGCGACTTGCCGAAGTAATAGGGATTCCCACTACTGCCCGGAGGCACTTGGCTATTACCATTCTGGGCCTGCTGGCTCTGCTGGTTTTGGGTCTCGAGCAGCAGCCTCTTCAACCTCGCACTCTCCTCGACAATATCGGTGAACTTGTTGCGATCGGCCACGTAGTGCTCCTGGTAGAGACTCAGTTCGGTGGCCAGCTCATCGCAGCGGCGCTTGGTGCTCGCGTGCTGGTGGCGCAGGGTATTTAGCTCCAGGAGCGCCGACTTGTACTGCCCCTGCAGTAGGTCGTACTTTGTGACGTTGCCGCCGGGAACGCCTGACACGCCCACTCCGCTATTGACGCCCTTCGGCGGCCCATTGTTGTTGGCCATATTGGCTGCTGTGGTGCTGCCACTGGAATTGGACGGCGGACGGAGGGTGTTGTCATAGCCCGCATATTCCGAGCTCTCTTCTGGAATTATAGGAGATATATAGGTATAAATATATATATATAGGAGAGGATATACGAACTTACCCTCCTGACTGCTAGTGCTGGTCAGCGAAAGATCTCCCGATGCCATCTTCGCCATCACAGCATCTTTAGGTTAAACTCAACATGAAGGTAAAGCTGGAAAGTATTAAAAATATAAAGAAAACAAATATTATTTTGTGTTTTTAAAAATTGAGAGGGAAATTGTCATTGTCTTAAAAAATGGTGATATATTGGATGATATTGTATTTTATATTGGCTAAAAGTTTGAATTTTAAATGTAAGAATTTATTTTTAAAATAAATAAATAAAAAAAAATTATATATTTTGCTATTTTATAATTACAGTGAGATTCTCCTAGGCAATGATCAAATATTGAATGATATTACATTTTGTATTGGGTCAAAGTTGTAATTTTAACTGTAAGAATTTATTTTTAAAATAAAAAAAATACATTTTGCTATTTTATAATTACAGTCAGATTCTTCTAAGCAATGATCAAATATTACATGATATTACTTTTTGTATTGGGTCAAAGTTGTAATTTTAAATGTAAGAATTTTTTTTTAAGTACCAGAAGCCTAAAAAAGAATATATTTTGCTATTCTATAACTATAGTCAGTTACTTACTATTTTGCCAATCTATTATATGTATTCCCGTCTATCTTACTACTTAAAATCCTCGCAAGATAAGAGCTTAGATTTATAGGGTAGCAATTGGAGTTTAATCGATAAGTAAAGATTAAATATTTGAATGATACTCATTTGATATGGTCCAATTGTAAATTTAGCATTTAATCGTAACTTGTACCTGGTAATCACGGTGATAGTGCAAATGTAAGCGCAACAAAAACTCTAATCCCACTATGCTTATTGTTTAAGGCAAACCAACAGCAATGACTGCTTTAATTATCTTCATTTGAAAACAACAGCTGTAGTCAAAATAGTAGAAGTATGGGGAAAAAATTATACATTTTTTTCTCCAACCTACTTTAAATTTACTTTTAAATAATTGTATGACAAAACATAAGGTTATCCATTAAAATATGAATAGCAATATTTCACAAAATTGGGAAATAACTAAAGATTAATATTAAAAAGTTTATATTATGAACTTAACGATTGAATCGAAACTAATTCTTGAATTTATTTTAAAAATATTACTATTAAAAATAAACAACATTTGCATACCTAATACATGTATGTATACAATTTTTTATAATTTTATTAATATAAAAAGTATTTATTTAAAAGACTTAAAATTTAATATTTTAGGACTCAAAAAAAAAATTGTTTTTATTTATTTAATATTGTGTTAACCGAAAACTTGTAACGGGATTTTGATAACAATCTCAATAAATAAGAGAAAACTCTATTTCAATTATTCCGTACTAGATGAAAACAGGTTTAATCCGTTACTGGAAATATTATTAGTTTTTCAAAGAAAGCTTACTATTATTTTGACGGCTGCTGTATATATCTTAGGTATGAGAGTAAGTAGAAAAACTGAAGCATTGGAAAAACGAAACTTTCACAATTTTTGTGAAACCGCGATTTTCACAATTGAACGAATGAAATTTAAATACAACCGCAGAGTGGGATGGAAAATGGGCGGGAGCGGGAGTGGGAGGAGGGAGTCAGAGGGGTAAGGTGAAGAGTAAGGTGAAGGGAGGGGGGTACCATGGTTTTGGGAGCTTTTTCGAGCGGCTAATGGTTGCGAAAATGAAATGTGTGGCAATTAAGCACTCGAGTTAGAGCATCGGGACTAAGCCAAAGAATTAATTGAAGCAGCCGAGCAGAAAGCGTAAATTAATAGCAACATGTATGCACACACGCACACTCGCACACCAGCACACCGACAGACCAACACACACACTCACACTCGCGTGCGGGCAAAACAAGTTGGCCGAATGAAAGAGAAGAAAAGCTGGCAAACGCACAAAGGTGGAAAGCAAAGCGAATTATATAAACGCTTTTCGGAGTGGAGTTTCTTTTCGTTCCGCAGGCACTTATCTTGGCCAACTAGCACGCTTATTGGCCCGAAAAAGAAACATTGCGTATATTCCTTTTGGTCAAAAGTCTTTCACACACACACGCACAGGCAGCCAAACGCAACAGCTGAATGGACGAGCGAAAGAGAGGGGGCGAGCTCCACCCCAATTCCAGGCCAGCGGGAAAGAGAGGGAGAGATGCAACAGGCGGACGAAGAACGGGACAGCCGACTTTTACCGTTTTCGCTCGCGCATCCGGATTCCGGAAGTTCCGCTCCCCAAATCGCGAGGCGAAAGGTCAAACTCCACGGCGCTCGGCGCACACACTATTTTCCAAGGACGCCCGCTCAAAGCGATGACGAATGGGCAACGAAAAACTAACGAAATAAAATAAAAAAAAAACAACACAACTTTAGGAAAACGTCACCAGTGTGACCGCGGAAGCCTCTATTAATTATACCGTCCGGCTTGAAGATAAATACTTTTTATACCAATCAAATATACCAAAAATATTCCAATCGTTCACGGTGAAACAATCGATTACTTTTATTAAGAAAGCTGGCAACTCTGGTCAGGTGGTTGTACTCGCTAGGGCCGTGTGTTCAAAACTTTTTAAAAGTTCATTTTATTTTTCAACTTTTAAAATATTAATCACTATGGACGGCAGTCCATGTAGTGACGAAGCGCACCAGGAGAGTGTGCGAAGGCGACTACTATTATATAGCCGCAAAATTGAAAATCTGCTGTGATAGTCCGATCGTAATGAGTAATACACCAATCGAAAGGTATTGCAATAACTTAAAGGATTGCATACCAAGACTTTAAGAAAATCAATTGGCTTGGGAGAGAGAGCGGTGAAAGTGAAAAAATGAAAATTTCGAAATTTGGAGCTGTTGGGGCCGGTGGGGATAAATGCCCCCTCGCAATGTTTTAGTTGTATTCCTTTTGAAAATACCCGTCGAATGAGGGGTCATTTGTCAAAATCCGACGCTCCGTTCAAAAGTTATAGCCAAAATAAGATTTCCTTCTTCTTCCCAAAATGAAAATTTAATTCTGTTTGTCAGTTTGTCAGTTTGTCAGTTTGTCCAAAACATGTTTCTTAAGTTTTGAAAATTTAATATGACGTTCATCCCATCGATATAAAAAACTTTTGTTCTACCACTTTTGGAAAAACTCGCTAGTTTAGCGGGAAAACAGCTATAAATAGCTAAAATTCGGAAAACCGTAACTTCTATACTACTAAAGCTACAGACTTGTGCTGCATCTTGTTTGAAAGGTATTTTTAAAAGCTATAAACGCCTTCTATATGCAATTTGTGTAAATGTAATAATTAAAAAGATATGAACAAAAGACAATTTTTTAAAACTTTTTTTTTAGCTTTTTTTTATTTTTCTCAAAAACGGCTCTAACGATTTTCTTGAAAACTTTAAACTGTATAGCCCTTGAGATTCCTTAAATTTTGGTATATAACACATTACTGTAAAAAGTCACGTTTAAAAGTTATTTTTATACGAAAATAGCCACTTTTGCCAGCTCGAACAACTAAAGCTTCCTGAGTATTGAGTATTAACTTCTATACTACTAAAGCTACAGACTTGTGCTGCATCTTGTTTGAAAGGTATTTTTAAAAGCTATAAACGCCTTCTATATGCAATTTGTGTAAATGTAATAATTAAAAAGATATGAACAAAAGACAATTTTTTAAAACTTTTTTTTTAGCTTTTTTTTATTTTTCTCAAAAACGGCTCTAACGATTTTCTTGAAAACTTTAAACTGTATAGCCCTTGAGATTCCTTAAATTTTGGTATATAACACATTACTGTAAAAAGTCACGTTTAAAAGTTATTTTTATACGAAAATAGCCACTTTTGCCAGCTCGAACAACTAAAGCTTCCTGAGTATTGAATTTTGTGTGAGGGTATCCGAACTGTATTTTAGGGTCATGGAATCAGTAAATTTGCACTTAAGAGTTCCATATAGGAATCTTTTGTTCTACGACTTTTGGAAAAAGCCGCTACTTTAGCGGGAAAAAAGCTAAAAATGGCTAAATTTCGTTAGTTTGTAAGTTCTACACTACTAAAGGTACAGACATGTGCCATACCTCGTTTAAAAGGTATTTTGAAATACTTTTTAACTTAATTTGTTTAAATACAATGGCTTACAAATTATGATTGACCAATTTAAATTTAAATGTATATATTAGCTCCTATGAGAGCAAATGTAAACAAACAAAAACTTCTGATATCAAATAAAAACACCTCTTAACGAGGTAAAAAACTAGTGACGATCGCACCTTCAACATACAAAAGTTCTGATATCAACATTTGTGACGAAAAATTATTACACTCGTCATTAAATAGACTTTCTAATATTTTTTTATTCGGCACGCTGCAATAGAAAATGCCTGTGAAGGGAAAAAGGCTGGAATAGTCTGCTAGGGCGGGCCGAATGAGAAAAGATTAGAAAGTCTATTTAATGACAAGTGTAATAATTTTTCGTCACAAATGTTGATATCAGAACTTTTGTATGTTGAAGGTGCGATCGTCCCTAGTTTTTTACCTCGTTAAGAGGTGTTTTTATTTGATAATTATTATTAATATTAAGTTCTCGTTATTTTTGTGACGAACTTTTTCTTTTGGGTAACGGATTAAAATTATTTAAGTGATTTTCAATAATTTTAAATTTATAGCACTAATGCATTTCGAATTGAATAGAAAATAACTTTTTTTTGGGAGTTTTCACTCAAATATGTTCACATTACACAATCTTTAATTCTGCCTCGTTGTTGTTTTTGTTTTTCTTCTTTGTAATTTTACATATTTTGCATCGTGCTGTTTTTGCACGTGATCCACATATTCGACATCTTGGAAAATGGTAAAGACCCCAAAATCCAAATTGGTAGACGTTAGAAGTGGTATCCCTAATAGAAGCAAAAAACCTCCGAAGAAATTTGAATTTTTGCGCCCAAAAAAAAGTCCAAAATTGGTAAAAGATGTTTCGGCAAAGTTAGAGGTGATTTCAGCGCCGAGCTCTTTAAATCCCACAAAGTCGCTAACCACATTAAGTGCGGATTCCGAGGATTTTGCCCAATCTGTCTTGACAAGTGGTTGGAATACCCCAATATCGGCACATTCTCCACGGAGAAAGCAAAGTATGACGAAATCTGCAGGCAGAAAGAAAGTAAGGATGTCGCACATTTCGGCTAATTCGGCGTTAATTCCAATAAAATCTATGAGCGCTCCCAATAAAAAAGAACGTTACTTTGAAGGCAAGATATTTAAGATCAAGAAACCACAATCAAGCGAAAGTGTTCAGGTAATAAAACTCAATAAAGATCTGACTATAACTAGTCCCACGGAAAGTGATGGGAATCCAGATGAATATCCCACATCGGAGGAAGAATTCCGTGATGAAGGCGAGAGGAGTGACTCTCAAGATGCTATTACGAGTATACGCGAAAGCCAGATTAGCGTATCCTCTGATTCGGACCTCAGGATGCGATATAACCTGCTCCACAGCCTCAGAAGAATTCCCCATTGGGACCAACTAAGTGCAACCACGAGCCTGGATCCGATTCAGTGGAAGGAAGAGAAGAAAGAAGAACAGAAAGCAGAGGAGGAGGACGAGGACCCCGGGAAGATCCGGGATCCATTAGCTCGCAACTCCTCAGTCACTTCAGTTCATAGCATTGAACAAGCCGAAGAAGAAGAAGTTTCTACCCCAAATGAACCCGATGTTATAAGTCTGCCTCTCATTTCATCTTCAGAACTGGAATCCGATGATGACAGCCAATGGGAATTAGAAGGAACCCGAATCGAATCGAGTGTCGTACCTATATTTACCGAAATTTCATCAGGGTCCTGGTCTTCCCGGTCTTCTACTCAAGAACGCTCCCGTCTTCCTTTCCCCGTTGATCACGTTGTCCAAGGCTATTTGGATGAAATGATTGAACAAGTTGTGGATATTATCGAAAATCCACTTAATTTGCTGGCTAAAAGTCTGGAGAAGGGTAAGCTCATGGATCGTATTATCGAGGAAGTGGACGATCTCACCTGGGAGAGGTACGAAAATGAATATCTAAGCAAACGCCTGGTTGAACACCATCTGCGCCGCTTCAAATATTCCCTGATAACTCCGAGCAAAATCTCCTCCATTGACGAGTCCTATCGACGGCGTTACCTGAGTGCCCTCGACGAACTGGACCACTGGCTGCAACGGAAACGGGAGGCTGAGGAAATTCACCTGACGGAGAGGGATCGACTTCTCGAGGAAATAGAGCAGATGCAATCGCAAGACAATGAGAGGGTCGAGGGAATGGAGCAGATTATTAGAAGAACTCTTTTCCGCCACGCTCAAACATCGGACCGCCTTAAACTCGTAAGATATAATATTTTCTAAAAAATAAATATTATCTGTACCTTGGCTAAACTTAGCTATTTCTTAAACGAATTATCTTTGTTTTTAAATATTCTAAATTTAATTACTTTAATTATAACAAATTAAATAGGTAACAGAGAACGCCCTGCATCAAATGAGAAAAAAACGGGATGCTTTGTCTGAGACTCGACTGGTTTTAATCATAAAGCAGCATAACAATGCCTACATTATACAGGTAAGAGTTACAAATAAAGAAAACTGTCGTTACCAAATGTGTCTTCCCACAGAAACTCAATGAAACGCAGACCATTTCTGGGGAAGTAAAAATGGATACGTATCTATCAACTGAAACGAACGTTCAGCAGTTAGCCAACACTCTAAATCGTGAGTATAATCTTGATAGCACATATGTATGCTTATCAATAAAATATATCTTTGAAGCAGCTTAATAGATTAAATTTTCTTTCTTACAGATAGAAACGCAGAACTTCATCGAATGTATGGCCTGATAAAATCCAAAATTCACACAATTTCTCATCTGAGATGTCGGAGAAAGTTGCTTAGTCGAAAATTTCGGGGGGCTAAAGGCGAGCTGCGAAAAAAACGGAAACAAGAATTTGCTCTGCGAGATAAATTATATGCCAGCAACTTGGAGCACAACAAACTTATTGCCAAAATCAAGGAAGTTCGACTTAAAGGCGGCCTTATGTCCTATCCCAAGTTGCTATTGGATTTCGACGAAACAACGAAATATGTTCTGATGAAGCGGGATCGAGTACACGAATTGAGGGAGCAGCATGACAGTCTGGTTAGGAGAATTGACAAGCTTGAATTTAAGATTCAAGGATCTCAGCTTAGATTGAGCCTTTCTGCCTCTGAATAGGTTTAATTTTAAGATATCTGAATCTTATCTTTACCCAATGGATATTTATCAATAAATGTAAAAATGTCCTTATATTTTTAATGTTTTTTTTATTTTCGATGCAAAGACGATACATTTTTTTAAAGGTCAGGAATTTATGTTATTTTTATTCAAAAATAAAGTATTGTCAAAATTTATTTCTTCATATCAAAATTTTCTTTTAACTATCTCCCTCCAATGGCTTTCCTTCTTTTCCGATTGGCTCTGGTGGCCGGTGCGGTTTATGGCACCCAGGAGCTGGGGATTTGGGAGAGTGCCGACCACACTCAGGAGCTCCTCGAAGAGGCCAAACGCGAGATGAGTCCCCTCACCGAGGACCTGATGAACCGATTCTGCTGCTGGCGGTGCGAGAAGTGCGACCCCGACGTGGAGGTCAAGCCGTGGCAGGAGTCCATGGTGGATGCCTGGAACGAGACGGTCAAGAAGACCTTCAACGCTTTGGGGGTCCAGGTGCCCTTGTACTACAACCGCTTCTCGGAGGATTTTCAGCAGAGCATCGATGACCTGGTGAACAGCAATGAAGCAATACCCAGGTGAAAGAGAACCCAAAAAAATAGCACTATAACTGAAAGCTCAATAGAAATATTTATATTTAAGAATAAATTATACCTAACATTCTTTGCTGTTTATCATAACAATAAAAAAACACAGCTTCTACAAATTTGAAATAAGAGAATTTTAGATTTTAACAGTTATAGTTAATTTAAAAATGTTAAACTTCGGTTTTAATATGAAATTCTTTTTTTAAATGGCTCAAAATATTTAAAGTAAATATGACTTCTTTAAAAATTTGGAAATCAAATCATGCAATTAAATACGTTTTATCTATTAACTTTTTATACCCTTGCAGAGGGTATTATAATTTCAATCAGATGTTTGCAACGCAGTGAAGGAGACGTTTCCGACCACATAAAGTATATATATTCTTGATCAGCATCAATAGCCGAGTCCATCTAGCCATGTCCGTCTGTCCGTCTGTCCGTCTGTCAGTCTGTCCGTCTGTCCGTCTGTCCGTTTCTATGCGAACTAGTCCCTCAGTTTTAAAGCTATCGCGATGAAACTTTCCCAAAAATCTTCTATCTATTGCAGGTAGTACATATGTCGGAACGAGCCGGATCGGACCACTATATCTTATGGCTCCCATAGGAATTATCAAAAAGAAAAATAGAAAAAACATTGTAACTTTGTAGAAAGTAGGCGTTTTGATTTTTGACAATGTAAAAGCAACATTTTAAGTAGGCATATCTGTAAGGGTATATAAACTTCGGCTGGCCGAAGTTAACTTCCTTTCTTGTTATATTTAATATAACTTTTTTTATTGAATTAAAAAAGATCATTATAAATATTTTTCTTTATCTATTAAATAGCTGAAGATATATTTGCAAATATGAGGGTATTACTAATTCTATTTCTGCATGCGTGCCCTTTTCATGGCCGGTGGAATGCTTCTTGGAGCAACAGCAGCGGCAACCGAAGAAGAGCCTGGCTTAAGTGCCATCCCAGGTCTTCCGCTGGCGATCCCGGAAGTTGAACAAGGATTAGCGCTGGGTCGAACCACGGGTTTTGAGACCACAGCAGGTGAGACGGTAGAGGTGTTCGGCCCACCGGGACGTGCCATGTAAAGTAGCGGGGGACAGCCCGGAATCGCAGATCCCTTGGGTGGAATTCCACTGGAGCTGGGGTTATTACGACCCGGAACGGTGGGAGCCGGTGCCACTCCGATTCTGGGATTCGCTTGGGCCGGTTCGGGGTCCTTCAGTTCGGCCATCATGCCCACCTGACAGTGGCGCCAGGTGGGCAGCAATAGGCCCCGGCTCGAAGTCGGCGAGGGCAGCGATGCCTGGTTGGGCGGCAGGAACTTCAGCGGCTGCTGGGCGGGCCTCCTCTTCAGCTCGTCGGTCCGCTCCAGGATCGTCATCTCCAGATCCTCGACACTCACGTTGGTGCGGTTGGCCAGATTGGCGAAGCGCTTCGCCTCGACCAGTTTGTCCCTAGCCAAAGCTGAACCAAATCACTCAGAAAATTTTTGCTCTTAGGGGTTGAGTGTTTCAACTCACTGTAAGCCAGATCAAGGATTACGCCACGAGCCTGTGGCTCCACCTCCAGTCGAAGGTCCTTCAGCAGACTGTCCACGAACTCCAGATCCAAACGGATATCCAAGTCGCGTTCGCTTATTTTGTAATTCTTGTCCATTATTATATCGTTCATGTGAATACTTAAAAAGTGCTACCAAAAGTCATTACAATTTGACAAAGCTTACTAGATGTGGCTAAAATCGATACAGGGTTGCATCATAATTTAAGTAACTTCAAGTCGGTTATTCAAAAATATATTTACTATTTAAGTTTTGAAAAAATATTGTTTAAAATAATACATTTGCAACTTATTTATGTAAGTAATAATAATAAATTTTCAAAAGCCAACTTGATGCGGCTAAAATCGTTACAGGGTTGAAATCGTATTTTAAGTAACTTATTCAATAATATATTTAACACTTAAGTTTTGAAAAAATATTGTTCAAAATAACAAATTTGTAACTTATTTATATAAGTAATAATAATATAAGGAAAAGCAAATGTGGTAAACACCAAAGAATTCCTTTTAAATAATGCTTTCTGTTGGTCAAGAAAAGTGTTGTGTGGCGATATCCTTTTAGTTAAGACAGAAGGACACCAGCAGTGCCATTGCCAGGATGGAAATGAGGCTTATGCTTCCGAAAATCTGCTCTGCCAGATTCAAGTCGTCTGGACCAAAGCAGGCCCAATATTCCACCTCCACCGACTTGGAGGGATCATCCGGATGAGTTATAGTGGTTTTAATAGGGCCATGAGTTCTAGTAGCTGCACTAGAAACTGGTAGCCAAGAATTATCCAATTCCTCCTCACTGGTGGCTGCAATACTGATTATCTTGTTATCACTACCTTCAGAACGCTCCTCATCGCGGTTTTGGGTGGAAGTGTGCCAAGAAGAATTCGCTGATTGGGTTCCGTTTCCTTCAATATTTTTCAGCGTTTTCCCCAATTCTTTCTCACTGGCGGTGGGAATACTGATTATCTTGTTATACACTTCGCGGTTAAGGGTGGGAGTGAGGGCGTGACCCAGTAGGGCACCACCCAATGATCCAGTAATGAGACCCGTTCCTGTAAAAAATAGATTGTAAATTACTAGGAAGATTCTGGGCCACATCTTTCACTTTTAAGCTCACCTAATCCCAATCCAGTGGAAGATCCGTTATCATCGGTGGAGTTTTTGCGATCCCTGGATTCCAAGCCGGGAATTATACCTCCATAGTCGAAACCACTTGAACTGGAACTTCCACCTTCTTTGAAAAGTGATTTCTTACTGGTCTCTGGTGTGGCTCCTGACTTGAAATACGGATTAAAGGCTGGGGGACGTGCGTATATGTTCGTGGGAGTTCCACCCAGAGGATTCCAGTCGGAAAATCCCGGCGGCGGCCTTTGTTGCTTCCCAGGGACATTCCAGCCAATTGGCCAGGCGGGTGTTGAAAACAGCGATTGGTAGCCACCTCCATAGCTCATCCTCAGATTATCCGGAAGGGAAGGTAAAGATGGCATCGAGGGGAGTGAGGGCGCCGAATGGGATGGGGATGAGTGGGGAAGCGATGGAGTCTTGCCGCCCCCAAAAATTTTAAACTTGAACCTCCACTTGGCATGAGCGTCCCCGGAGATTAGAGCCAACATTACGAGCCCCATTATCAATGGATTGCCACTGAAACGCCTCGGATAGAGCAACATCATCAATTTAATGGTCGTAGATGATAACACTATTAATAGCCTCCAAAAAACGATTAGAACTAAGTCTATTTCGCAATCACGTTTTCTAAAAATCTGATCAGCTGTGGATTCCTGAGTAGGGGATGCCCCAGAGCTTTGCCCAAAAAGCTTTTCCAGTTATTAAATGTACACATAGAAGTAGTTTTGAGATTTACATTTATGCTGTGCCATCTTATAACATCTGATGATCTTGCCAAAACGCTCACTAAAAAGCTCCAACGCAAAAGCTTTACATATAAGAAATTGAGGCTGCTAAGCATAAAATCAAACAGTATGCTTGAAATATTGTTCAGAGATAAGAGATGAGTAATTCCAATTTTTAGGAATTTCAGGCGATTTTATTAAATTTGTATGACGTATTTGACCTCAAAAAGTCCCAAATAATAAAAAAAATTAAACTTTAAACATATATACACACAAAAAAAAACTTGGTAAAATCAACTGTAATAATTGTCAAACAGGCCCCAACCAGCAAAATTGTCAATTCTACTAAGTAAATAGTCATTTCACAACAACAAAATACACACAATTACCAAAGACACAAACCCAAAGCAAAAACAAAATACATGTAACTATTTTAATAGTTACGTAACTATCTTCGTTGGTCAATTTTACCAAGCAAATTTTTTTGTGTGTAGTTATGGCATTGCTAATACTAATTGATAGGGGAGTGTAGGGTAAGGTGACGAACGATTCGTTTTTTGAATGTAACTTTTGTAAAAATCAATATTTTTCAAAAGTGTAAACGCAGAAAGTTGCTTACATCTACTGAGCATATCCCTGTAAAATTCGAAATTCGAAATTCCAATGCAGCTAAATCCCACAGCGTTTGGCGTGAACCCTACTTTTTTTGCACTTTCAAAAGTTGTAGGGTAATGTGACGAACGATTTGTTCTTTAATGTAACTTCTCCAAAAATCAATATTTTTTAAAAGTGTAAAAGCAGAAAGTTGCTTACATTTACTGAGCATATTTCTAAAAGAATTTGGATTCGAAATTTCAACGTAGACAAATCCCACAACGTTTGGTGTAAACCACCCTTTTTACAAACAAAAAAATACATTTTTTTATATATTATTTACGGAAAGGTTATTTTCAATACGGAAAAGAAAAAAGCAATCAGATAATACCCAAACTTACAAAAAAAAAATTATCAAAGTGCAATTTTTTTTTTAAATTAAATTAAACTGATGTCACTATTAAAAACAACAATAAAACTGCAGCAGTAAATGTTATCTGGTATTATTATATTTTTTTTTACAAATAATCAACGATAACAGTTAAAATTCTTGAATAAAAAAAGTTCGTCACAATACCCTACAAAAAGTTCGTCACGATACCCTACAAGGTAGACTTGGAGCAAAAACGGTGTCACTCTCAAACGGCGCAAAAGAAAAACAAGAGAGAACGCTATAGTCGGGTTGTTGTCCCGACTATCTAATACCCGTCACTCAGCTAAAGGGAGTGCGAACGCTGTGTCGGGTTGGTGTCCCGACTAATAATCGTAACTCAGCTAAAGGGAGTGCGAGGGAGATAGATATATAATTTTTGATTGCGTATAACTTTTTAATGAATGGTCCGATTTGAAAAATGTCTTCTACATTTCGATAGGTATAAATATAAACCACAAAATTGCATTTATACTTCTCGGAAATCTTTAAAGATGTGGGCGCAGGACCCATTTTAAAATCATTAGTGGGCGATTGTGGGCGTTAGAGGGGGCGTGGCGCTCGGCTAAAATAAACTTGCGCTGCGTAGGAAGCCAAAGAATATGTGTGGGAAATCTCAACCTTCTAGCTTTTGTAGTTTCTGAGATCTCAGCGTTCATACAGACGGACAGACGGACAGACAGACAGACAGACAGACAGACAGACAGACAGACAGACAGACAGACAGACGGACAGACGGACATGGCTAGATCGACTCGGCTAGTGACCCTGATCAAGAATATATATACTTTATGGGGTCGGAAACGCTTCCTTCTAGCTGTTACATACTTTTGCACGAATCTAATATACCCTTTTACTCTACGAGTAACGGGTATAAAAAGCGAGGTACCAAAAACTGTTGATAAAGATCTCATGTATACGTGCATATATTTGCCTGATTTTATTTTTCACTCATCTTTGCTCTGGCACTGCTGAAACACAAGTAAGTTGAATGGGTTTGCTAGTTTGCGCACCACATTTTTAGCGAAAATTACCTCACGAACAAATTACGGGACTTCTTATAAATATTACTGTAAATACATTGTCGACACGATAAGGGGAGACGACTACATTTATTTGGAATTTTTATCGTGACGTCATATATGAGATTCGACGAGTTCGTCACATTACCCTACTCGTCAAATTACCCTACACTCCCCTACTAAATATAAACATACTGTATTTTCTTTTCTTTTTTTTTGATATAGTTTTTCAGTTAGGACAGAAGGCCACAATCAGACTAAGCACAATGGATATAAGACTTAAGTGTCCAAAGATGGGTTTCTCCGATGAAGAAGCTGCACCAGTACGAATCACCGTTGTGGTTGATCCTGTTTTCCTGCTAATCACAGTTCCGGCTGCTCCGTTGTTAATGATGGTGATCTTCCCACTATTACTAAAATGATTCACCGTTTTGGTGAAGGCGTCAGCCACGATGGTACAGACCTCTTTAAGAAAACTCATAACTTCACTTTTCCACGAGTGGGTTGAAGGATTAGGTTTTGGGTGGTGTGAAGGCGCTGCATGAGATCGAGCTGTCGGTGAAAAGGAGGTAGACCTTCTGCCGGAACTGGGTGTAGTTCGAGTTCTGGTGCCACTTAACTTCCTCTTGGCATCCACATCCTCAGTAGTTAGTGCCAACATTAGGAGCACCACCACCAAGGAGCCGCCAATAAATCCCCTCGAATATACAAACATTCTGAAATTTTTATATGTTTGCAATGCTTTCAATCAATCACAAAAAAAAAATTGATTTGATCTCGATTTATTTATCAAAGCTTCTTGAAAACCAAAGCCTGCGAGAAACTCACCTCGATACCGCACAGGAATAATGTTAGCTTTCTTAAGAAAAATCTTTTTTAAAACCCTTGTTGCTCGGAAAAGAATTATTCTTAAGGACAAACGAAAAAACACTACTAGTCTCTTTGCACGCCCGATCGAAAGTACAATTCGAAGTATCTTTAGCTCTTTAAGAAATATTTAAGCTTTTAAGGAAATCCGCTTCCCATTGATATGGCGTGTTTTTCCGTTTTGCTGTCAAGTTAAAAATAAATCCGAATGATCTGTTATAATTGTAAATTTACATTTCAAAGAGTACCACCAGAAAAAGTATTTAAAGTTGTTTAAGTACATATAAAATTGTAACGGAAACTGTAGAAAAATAATTAATTCGATTTCGCTAATAATAAACCAAAATTGTATTAGCAACTCGAAAAGTTAGATTTGATATGACATTTTTTAAGCTTGTGCTGGTGATAACATTACTTATGATATTTCAAATCAAGTACGACTACTATTCGAGAACGAACGTTCTTGAAATAAGTACGACATAAGATTGTTTTAAGTACAAAAATTATATTTTAAGAATAAAAAATTCTTCATTTAAGTACTTTTGTACTTAAAATGTCTTACATTATTTTATTATTTATTTAACTTATTTTTACTGTTTAACATATTCTTTAAGTTATTGTTAGGAGGAAAAATTTTATTGTCCTGGCGCCTCTAACACTGCATCACCCTGGGAATCCGCTTGTTCTGGTTTAATTTTTGTATTTAAGAACGACTAGGTCTTATTTCAAGAGCGAATGTTTTATTCTTTATTCACTGGTAAAAAAAAATGGTAAGTGTCACTATTTTACCATTGTTTCAATTATTTTTCCCAGCGAAATAGATCGTAACATGAAAATAGTAAAATCGTAAATGGCGCATAGTTAATAATGTTTTAAATATTTTAATGGTAAATTCAAAGATTTTTGTATTTGATTTGACTCTTTTTTCACCCAGAATCTTGTAATTATAATTTACAAATTTGTTTTTTTTCTCATTACAATCAAAAGTATTATTGTGAACTAAAAAGAGCATTCTGCCTCGAAATAATGTGAGCGTGGCTCAGGGGTGAAGGTCTAGGTTCTGATACTATTTTGTGCTCGGGGTACCAGGTTCAAGTACCGCTGACACCACAGCTTATATTTTTTTTAGTAATTAGTAAATCTTACAACTTTTTTTATACAATATTGTTCTTAGAAATGTTAAGGAAATGTTAAATACGCGATCCATAACACATATAACTTTTTAAAACTAAAAATGCTACTTTTCACTTATAAATTTTATGGAAATTTTTTTTAATATTATTTGAATTTTGACTTTCAAAATAATTGTGTCAAATAAACTTTTTATTTAAAATAAATGGTTTATATTCCGGATAAATTGCGAAAGTATTTAATCGGAACAGAAAAAAACATTGATTATACTATGTATATAACTTACAATTTATAATACTAAAAACTAATATTGCGACTTTGGTTTTCAACATCAATAATATCGTTTCAAATATAATTCCCTTCGATTTTATTATTTTCATATTTGAATGAAGGTTTAAATATGCTTTTTATTAAAATCAATGATTTATTTATTTGATTTAACTAAGAAAAGTAGTAAATGAAATCAACTAAAAAATATTTGATTTCACTATGCGCTTTTTTTTACCATTGTTCGCACCACAATTCTTTGGGTGTATACCAACATATTGTTATAACAATTGCGACCAAAAACATTATAAAAATAAAGGTTAAGACAAATTTTACTCCGTCAGCATTGGTATCTTCATTGAATTGGTAAGAGGAATCCTCCCAGGCATCAAAGTCACCGTTGTCACCGTTGTCATCGTAGTCCTCGTTCTCGGAGCTCGACCAAGAGCTACTTCCGAATGTCAAAGGTAAGAGACGAGATTTCTTGATTTGCGATTTGCGACCTGGCTTTTTTTTGGACGAATCTAAGGGGACCAAATTGGAGGAATCTTTAGAGGATTGGCGTGGTTGAGAGCGCGATGAGAACCATCCGCCGGATTTTGAACTTGAACTGGAACTGGAACTGGAACTGGAACGGGAACTTAAACTTGAACCGGAGCTTGAGCGAGAGCTACCACTACTACTACTGCTGCTTCTAGACTTTCCCAGCGCATCCACGGAAACTATCGTCAGGACGATCACAGCTACAATCAGGATACCATTCAGCCGTCTTTGAGCTCGGGACATTCTGAAATGGGCACAACAAAATTACCAACTTTAAACTCACACTACATTTTTTTGTCTTTATTTTTTTAAAGAAATTAAAAAAAAAATGTGTTGTTCTTGTTGTGAAGGATACTTCATGAGTATAATAGAAAAAATTGAGGTCGATCCGATACCTACAGCCAGTATACAGTTTTTAGTGTTAAAACTACTTTTCCGATCTTTTTTTTATGTCTGTCTTAAAGTTCCCTCCACAGAGTTTTTAAGTAATAAAATAATTTATAATTTAATAATTTGTTAAATATTATACGTTTTTTAAGTTTTTCTCAGAAAATAGTAATTTAAAATTTTTTTTTATAAAATTTAGAATCTTTAAAATCGATTCACTCGTACAAAAGTTGTAGCTTCTCATAAAAAGTATACCCAAAAACCTTGACTATTCTTAGGGTGGCAACCCTACAGGCCACAACTTTCAAAACATTTAATTTTTGTGTTTCTTTTCACAAACACTATTTTTTACGTGAAACTGAGAAAAAGTCGGCTTCAAAATTCTATAATGGGTAATTGGGTTTTCGGAGAATGTATATACATACATATGAATTTGTGTATGTATACTATATACGGTCGGGTTTTCTCCGAATACAATATAAGCTTTTACTTTAACAGGTATAGTTACCTGTATGCTAGTACTTGGGTTATGGAACTTGTTTCGCGAAAATTTCAGCTACAGAGTAGATAAGAAAATAAGAATTCTTAATTCAATTGGAATTTATTAGTTTTCGATGCTCATTTCGCGAGCAAAATTTTTGGTTCTATTTCGTTAACTAATCTCGAGCAACTGACCAATAATTCGTTCGCATTTTCGGCTTTTTTCTGTAGCGTTTTGTGAGATAAAGCGTAATACTCACATCGACAAAATATGCGAAATAACCAAAGGAGAGAGCGGGAGACAGATAGCCGGCTAAAGCTCTTTTTATAAGCATAAGAGCGATAGCGGAATAGAAGCAAACATGTTTCTGGTCAGTACACTGAAAAAAATCCAGCATAAAGTTCCAGGTTATCAGTACAGTAAAACTGAGTTGATACTTAAAATAAAAAAGAATACAAACAACAAGTATTTCCCTAAAATATGAAATTGTCTTCGATCATGTGAGGTATGCACATATAAATTTGTAATTTGTTAAAAAAAGGCAGAGCAAAACATTAAATGAATGGTTGAAATCCACACCACCTAGATTATTAAAGGTTTGTGACCGAAAGAAACAGTGCGCATGAGTGATAAATTTTGAAGCCTATTCGCAGACCCTAAAACGCGTTTGGCACACCTTAAATATCTTAATGCGCACCGTATATGCGGACAAACAAATAAAGAGACAAAATAAAGAGCGCCGAGTTCTCATGGACGTAGACCGTGTGCGTTGCTTATCTAATTGAGTGTATTTTCGATTGAGTGAATATGAATAATTTAAATTGAGTAGACTTACTTAGCAAGTCGACTCATATTCATATTCATATCTAATTTGTTATATTAGTAAGGCACATATGAATGTTTATATTCTATATAAAATTGGTAAAATAGAAAGAATCATTAATTAATTCACACAGTCAAGAAATTTGCTTAGTAATTCTACTCAAATAAAATTATTCATATTCACTCAATCGAAATACAAGCGATAAGATAAAAGTTGTCTGAACAATAAAAGCACACGATCAAAAGGGGCCCCTTCAGCGCTGTGGGATTTCTGTGGCGCAACTGAATATATACCAGAACGATGACTTTAAAAAGCTTCAATGTATAACCTTTTTTTTTTTTGGAAATAATTGATTTAAAATAAAACAATTTAGTTTGCTCCATTGATTGAAATTTTGATTATTTCCAATATAGACTCAACAGAAGAGATAAGAAATTCTATGAATTTTGAAAGTCGTATTCTTGAAATTAGTATAACTAGGAAATTCCCATAAAAACAAGCAACCCAATAAACTACGTATATTTTTGATTAGCAGACATGTCTGTGCGTCTTTATGTTTTTAGTCAATGAAAATTGGATTGAACATTGAGTTAACTTAAAATGTTTGGTTTTATTAATTAATTCTAACAAGTTCTTGGCTTTATGGTAAGTAAAGTTAGTAATGTCAGAATTTGTTTATATATTACAGTGGCGGATCTAGGATTTTGTTTTGGGGGTGATATCAGAACAATGTTGCTGTTGCATTAATTTGAATTCCATATATCACCCATATCACCCCCCGTGGATCCGCGCATGAAATATTATTAAACTAATTGCGAGCATAAACATGAAAAAGCGAAGATTAAGACAACGCTTCCAAAAGTGACACTGTGTTCTTTGGGGGCTGCATTGTGATCCTTCGTAGTCCTTGTCTCATAAACAACAATGTCCTCGTTTTCGGAGCTTGACCAAGAGCTTCTTGCGTATGTCGAAGGCTTGTACGACGATTTGAAGGCTGGACGTTTTTTGACCGAATCGAAGTGGAACGAACTGGACGTATCTGTATGGGATGGGGGTGAGTAGGAGTGCGATGAGAACCATCCGCCGGAAATAGAACCAGAACTGGAACTAGAACCAGAACTGGAACTAGAACCAGAACTGGAACTAGAACCAGAACTGGAACTAAAACCAGAACTGGAACTAGAACCAAAACTGGAACTAAAACCAGAACTGGAACTAGAACCAGAACTGGAACTAGAACTGATACTGAAACCCGAACTGGAACTGGAAAAAGAGCTTCTGATAATCGTCAAGAGGATCACCACCACAATCAAGATGACATACAGTCGCCTTAGAAATCGGGACATTCTGAAATATACAAATGACTCATTTACTCACATTTATTCATAATAGATAATAAACAAAAAACGAATTAACAGTGAACGAGGACTGTCCTAAGTCACAATGCTTAAGTAAAGGGAGTGGGAGGGAAATGGATATATAACACTTTTTTGATGGCGCATAACTTTTTAATAAATTGTCTGATTTGAAAAATGTCTTCTATATTTCGATAGGTATAAATATACACAACAAAATTGCATTTATACTTTTCGGAAATCTTTAAAGGTGTGGGCGCCAGACACATTTTAAAATCGTTAGTGGGCGATTGTGGGCGTTGTGGGCATAGCGCTCAGCCGAAATAAACTTGCGCTGCGTTGAAAGCCCAAAAATATGTCTCAACCTTCTAGCTTTGGTAGTTCCCGAGATCTCAGCGTTCATACAGACAGACAGACAGCCAGACATATGGACATGGCTAGATCGACTCGGCTAGTGACCCTGATCAAGAATATGTATACTTTGTAGGGTCGGAAACGCTTCCTTCTCCCTGTTACATACTTTTGCACGAATACAATATACCCTTTTACTCTACGAGTACGGGTATAATAAACCTTTTTTCAGACATCGGCTTGCCGAAGTTTAGTTTCTGGTTAACACAAATTAAAGACTAAACTATTGTTATCAATGAATTCATTTGTAAAAAAATAACTATAAAATGATTCATGCCAATTCGTGTGAAATAAATTTTGTTTTCTGAAAATGCAGAGATAAGTGAAACATGACAAAAATGGGAAGCAACATACGCGCCTATTTTCGGAAGTGCGCAATATAATGAATGGAATTCTTATGTACAAATAAAAAAATCACTGGGTTTCAACACTTGGATCAATTTTTATATTCCAAAATAAATATTAATCTATTTATTAATCCAGCATCTTTAAAAAGAAAAAAGGCAGCATTTTAATATTTTTAATTCTCAATATTAAACAACAAAAAAAAGAGTCTTCTTTCTTTTTAGATTCTACTACAACGCGGCCGAGTGAAAGGACATAATTTCGAAGATTTTAGGATTTTGTTTATAGGACCGTAAGGATGCAATTACCTGTAAGCTAGTACTTGGGTTATGAAACTTATTAAATATCGTTTCCCGAAAATGTCCTTTACAGAGTTGATGCTAAATTACGAAATTCTAATTCAATTTAATTTTTTTTGGGGCTGTTTCTGCGCGCACAATATTTGATTATATTTCGTTAATCGATCTCGAGCAACTAAACGGCGCTAAAATTTTGTTCGCGTCCTCGGCTTTCACAGAAGCGTCTTGGGAGATAAGCGGAACAGCGATCGCGGAATAGAAACAAACATACACTGAACAAATGCAGTTCCAAATTGTCAGCACAATTAAATCAACTTTATCAACTATCAACTTTAAATATCTTAATAATATAAAGAATAAGTATTTCTTTAAAATAATAAATCAATTAAAAACACCTCTTAACGAGGTAAAAAACTAGTGACGACCGCACCTTCAACATACAAAAGTTCTGATATCAACATTTGTGACGAAAAATTATTACACTCGTCATTAAATAGACTTTCTAATATTTTCTCATTCGGCCCGCCCTAGCAAACCATTCCAGCATTTTCCCCTTCACAGGTATTTTCTATTGCAGCGTGACGAATGAGAAAAGATTAGAAAGTCTATTTAATGACGAGTGTAATAATTTTTCGTCACAAATGTTGATATCAGAACTTTTGTATGTTGAAGGTGCGGTCGTCACTAGTTTTTTACCTCGTTAAGAGGTGTTTTTAATTGATATCAGAAGTTTTTGTTTGTTTACATTTGCTCTCATAGGAGCTAATATATACATTTAAATTTAATTGGTCAATCATAATTTTTAAACTATTATATTTTAACAAATTAAGTTAAAAGGCGTTGAAGTATTTCAAAATACCTTTTAAACGAGGTATAGCACATGTCTTTACCTTTAGTAGTGTAGAACTTACAAACTAACGAAATTGAGCTATTTTTAGCTTTTTCCCACTAAAGTAGCGGCTTTTTCCCAAAGTCGTAGAACAAAAGATTCCTATATGGAACTCTTTAGTGCAAATTTACTGATTCCATGACCCTAAAATACAGTTCGGATACCCTCACCCAAATTCAATACTCAGGGAGCGTTAGTTGTTCGAGCTGGCAAAAGTGGCTATTTTCGTATAAAAATAACTTTTAAACGTGAC